AGTTGGGGTATTGGAAGAGTTAACATACCTTTTTGTTCACCTGGACAACAAACTAGACTGGACACGCCACCGTAAGGCTGATTACAAGAAAGGACAGAGCAGACTGCACTTTTTAAGGAAGCTTAGGTCTTTCAGGGTTTGAAACAAGATGCTAAAAATCTTCTATAAATCTGTTGTGAAGAGTATGATCTTCCCTCCTTCATCTGCTAGGGTAACAGCCATCTTAGAGTTAGTGTTAATCTTAATGTTCTGAAAAAAAACTATAATACGTTTAAGTTGCATTTTAGTCATTATGATATGTGATAGTTTTATCCGCTTTTAATCGACTAAAACCTAAAAAGGTTTTTAGTCGACTAAAACCGATCACTTTTTAGTCTAAAACTAGGCTGAAACCTGAAAAGGTTATAGTATCTGACTGACAGCTCTTGCCTAGATTCCACAATAGCTGGGTATAGTGCAGTTAATCATTGCTGTTTGGCAGAAAACTTTGATTTATAAAATTCAAAGAAACTTTTTAATGAATTAATGCCCTATTTTATATATTTTTTTAAAGTTTCTCACAAAAGTTTACTCAATTCTTCTTCCTGAGCACATTTGGCTTCTTAACTTGGAGGAGCAGAATCTAACCCTTGCTCTTTCAAACTCTGCTACAAGCAGGTCATGATTGATTTCAGTCAATTCAGAAATAGTTTCTTAACCCTAAAAAGAAAAGGAAAACAATCAGATTGTATTTAACAGTCTTTATTAGGATGATGCTCATTGTTTTCCATAATATTCTTGATTTTCCTTGTGAAATCGTCTCCAGAGTTTCAAGAGGAGTTCCCAGAAAGGAGTATATCAGCTTGTTGAGCTTCCTTAAGTCATTTGATCTGATGCTGTTACTACAGCAGGTGACTACAGAAGAGATCACACTGTCCACAACAGACTTATAAAGGACATGCAGCATCGTCCTGGAAACACTGAAGGACCAGTCTGCTCTGTCTATTCTGGTAAACTGCTTAATAGTTGTGTCTCCGGTTCAAGCTTGTTGTCCAGGTGAACACCAAGGTATTAAATCTTCTCCACCACTCACACTTCTTTACAGATGATGTTAATAATATTCTATATATTCCTGTTTCTTCTGGAATTTACAACCATCGCTCTTGTTTTGTTCACATTCAGGATCCAAGGATTGCTTCAATCCATCTCCATCTCTGTTTGTCTATTTCCCTTTTTTTACTGTCTTGACCTTAAGTTGCTTCTGTGTTTAATCCAGTTTCCCTGCCTGAATGCTCCCCTTTTCTTCCCAAGCAGTTCCTTCAGATCACTAAGGACCCAAGGCTTATTAATGGGGAACCATTTTACTACTTGATGGGGAGGCTGTTATCTACATAGAAGTTTATGTAGCCAGTCACATCCTCTCCCAGTGCCTGAAAGTGAATTACAGTCTGTAGCCTCAAAAGAACCATGCAGGTCTTCTTCAGCCTTCTTACAGTTCTTTTTAATAAAAGTTTTCTCTTATTAAATATAATTTAAATTCAAGAATACTTTAATAATCCCAAAGGGAAATTAAATGTTGCAGTAACTTACAGTTGTTGTTTTTTTTTCTATGAGTCTGTATTGGTCTGTTTGCACCATATCTGGAGAAGCCTCTGACTGAAGACACTTTGTTGTTGTTTAAAAATCTTCTGAACACAATGCTGGCTCTTTAAGATAATCTTCTTCACTTTATGAAGGATTCTCTTTTGTGAAAACATCACCAGAGGTTCTGGAGAAGCTTTTTTTTTTTTTTTAAAGTAGACCTAGGGTGTCTGCCTCACAGACTTTCCATTGATGGAAGGCAGAAAATCACCATAACTTACAGAAATAAAGGCTTTTAATTAACATGCTAACCAATAGATATGTGACTATATGATTAAATAATGTTTACTGGTTGACATACATTAAATATCTCTGCATTTCTACACCTCTAAGCTGTCTGTCTCTGGTTCTTTTTCCTGTAAAGAGATCACTCAGGAATAACTATTTAAATAACACTTCATAACTTATATGTATTGAATAACCAGGAGACATGACAACAGATTGTCATAGAAATTGTAATCTGGCTCAGATCGGAGAAGTTACTTAGAGTTTACAGAAGGCAGCTGCTCACCTCTCAGGAAATGGCCCTGATTAACAGTTAAAAAGGCATTTTATACATCTCCAGTCTGCCACATCATCATATTTTACATCATACACCTTAGCAGATGAGTAAACATCCATGGCTGCAGCCTTATCAAAATATTACACTTCGTTCTTAGCCGAAGGACACCGCTCTCATTCCATTCCCAAATCTTTGCCACGTACAAAATGAAGATTATAACTGTATATCCGGACAGAGGAACTGTTCTTATTAGATAAACTATTGTGGAAAACATCAGTTCTGACAAGCAACAGGCAGCTAATATTAAGGTGTAAAAAAAATCACCATTGATAATTATCCTAAAACCCTTATTAGATACTGTTTTAGAAATCATCCAATTGGTAAATAGAGGGTGTAGTTTAATTTCAGTATAGATACAGCCATGGTAACTATAGAGTTCCACTGAATAAAATTATTGTTTGTAGTTTGGTAAAAGCCACGCCGTGCTGTCCATCAAACATATCAATGTACAAACATGTGTGCTGCGGTGAGATTATTATAAAATAATTAAACAAAATTTCTGGAGTACATAAAAAAATGTGAGGTGGGGAGGAAAACTAACACTGCATAACACCCTGAAAAAACCATCCTGTGAAACACAGTAGTGGCAGCATCATGCAGTGAGGATGCTTTTCTTAATCAAACAAGGGGAACCTATAGCATGAAACCGCATTGAAATATGTAACCAATTATGGATGTAAAGTGAAAGATGTGCAAATTTTGCAAGACACAGTTTGGGAAACATTAACATTACATCACATTAATTTGTATGTAAACTTATGCACTTTAATGTAACGCATCATCCCATTTTCAACACTGTTTGAGGATGCTCAGATGTATTTGCTGCTACATGCGGTTATAGAAAGAATCCTCTAGATGGCGATGCTGCATCATTTGGTTCCAAGCCCCCAAAACAAACATCAGAGAAACAGATAACTGCAGACATAAAATATATTTTATTTGAAGCACTTTTTTGTTTACCGATAGACACTATCCAACAGCTCATTTTATAGCCCACTTCAAATGCCACAAACATCAAGACATTTCCAGTCCATCACAGTAGATTCAATGCTGCCAATATTCATACAAGGAGCTAAAACCATAAAGCTAGAAAAAATAACAAAACCACATCATTTTGTTACCTTTATAGTCACAAACAAATCTGTTCCAGTAATATATCAGCATCAGCTTCCATAAAAACAAACTGTTATTGCAGCAGCAAAACTGGATACAATCTAGATTATGAGAGAGATTTAGAGAGGAATGTATTTTAATGTGCACAGACACAAGAGCATGGCTTAATACCATCATAAGACAAACGTATCTTTGTGTGTGAAACCTTGGAGGGATTGATTCCTTAGTAACTCAAGATATCATTGTACCTTTGTGACTGAAGGCCTGCATCAGCATCATGTGAAAACCAGAGGGGAAAGTTTGAACGGAGAGAGATGAATTTCTGAGATGGACTCTGAAAAAAAAAGGGGCTATGGCTTTTTTAAGTCATAAAGACTCAGGATTCTGTCATTAGTTCTAAACCTGCTCTACTGGTGTTCACTACAAGGGAAGTATTGTGTTCTCAATGTAAAAATAAATTGGATATCTGTTTATTGTGCTTTGACTGTCTTACAATCTATTTTTGGCAAATTGTTAAACCATGTTCTTGAGAAATATTTGACCCCCAGCAGATTTCATCAATAAACGTCACAGCTTACAGGAGATCCAACTGTGCAGTAATGCATTTGCATAGAGCCTCCTCTTCCATCATTCATAAAGCACATGTCCAGTTTTAAAACACAGTTCTTAGCAGAACACTGATATTTGTCACCAAAATAACAAACCGCATATATATTCTGTATAACGGCTATTCTAAATACAAAAGTGCACCAAACAAATACGCACCCAAAAGTAATAACTTTCATCATGTCATGTTCTACAGACAAATAAAATGTTGCATTCATTCAACATAAAAAAGGTTTTCCTTTAAGGCTTTACTTTGTAAATCCAATAAATCACCATGCAAGTTTGCACATTCCATTTCAAGCAGGCAATGAGACACCGAGATATAAAGCTGACACAAAGAGAGCAGGTGAGGTTTTCTATTTATTGCAGTTTTACTAAAACATGGTAAATGTATTTTTCTGGATCACTCACCCACACAAACAGGGGCGGATTTAGGAAATTTGGGGCCATAGGCAAAGACGGGCATGGGGCCCTTTGAAATGGGAAGACAACACATAAAACAGACCCATTATACAGATACAGAAATAAATATAGAATAGACATACATTATTTGTTCTACCCTCTCTTCTTATGCATTTTCTTGCTTTTTTCCTTTGTTTTCTTTTAACCCCTTTTCTTTTCATATTGGCAATGTGCTCAGCTAACTTTTCGTGCTGTCTCAAAAGGAATGAAGGATGTTTTCCAATCACTAAGCTCATTCTAAATTAGTTGTTTGCTCCTTCCTGTTTTCACTGTAGACAAGCCATGATCTGCTCATCTGTTCTCCTTTTTTTATTTGAATAAAATTGCATGTTGCATGAATCATGACAGCAGACAAGAGAGAGGAGAGCAGGAGGCGGGGTTACTAATCTACTTGCTCTGGAGAGCAGAGTTCGCTGCTTTTATATATTGTCGCCACAGTCTCCAGTAGCAAAAAAAGCATAAAAAGTTGCTAGATTTGGCGCTAGAGGGGTCTGAAAAGTCACTAAATATAGCGAAGTTGGCATCACTGCTTTTTCCTCTGTTTGTTTTTTAAATGGAATGGTTTGCTGTCTGTTTGGACCTTTCTGAACATGTGCAGCAAATGGACTGATCCAATGTGGCGGACACTGAAGGGGGGGCTGAGACAAATTTAATATTATAAGCATTCTGATGGCATTTTAATGAAAATATTTTTATCAAAAACATAATTAATGTGCACAAATAAGTAATAGCGGTATTAACCATACATGTAAAAGGAGTTTTATGAGCCCCCCAGGAACCTGGGGCCCCAGGCAACTGCCTAGTTTTGCCTAATGGTAAATCCGCCCCTGCCACACAAACACACACACATTATGTCACTTTTTCAGGTTTATCAGGCAAACTAAGAACAAAAGGAAAAAGGACACCCTTTGCCTCCAGAGGAGCCTTCAGCGCATCCTCGACAAAGTAGTCATTCTCCTCCTCCACCACAAACTGAAGGGTCTGGCTTTTATTCACGCAGTAGATGCAGTTCCCGATAACAGCACACCTGAAGGGGAGATGACTCCCATGCCTTTGCGACGCACAATCGTGCCACATTTTCACGATGGTGTTGTACTTGAAGACACTGATCCCTTGCTCTCGATTCACATCGAATCGATAAATGAAACTTTTCAGCGCCACCATGTCGCTGGATTTCTTTCTGCTGTTGTTGTAGGGGCACTCCTGCCACTCGTCCCTCTTTGAGTCGTACTTGAGGAGGCGGTAGAAAAGGGAGCCTCCTGAAACGTAGAGCTCTCCGCTGCAGGTGGTGGCTTCGTGGGCCACTGCGAACGCCCCCTTGGGCAAGGGGGCAATCATCGTCCAGCGGTCCATCCGAGGATCGTATTTCTCTACTGTGAACAAACATTCGCCTCCGATGGCGTACAGGCTGCCATCCATGGACACCAGCTTTAGTTGTGCTCGGGCCTGGTTTAAAGGTTTTATTTCAGCCCAGCGGTTGGTGACTGGGTTGTAACAAAAGACCTTATCTGACACCTGACCCTTGTCCTTATAGCCCTTTATCCCCCCGGCCACAAACAGGTAGTTGTGCATGGTGCAAATCCCGCAGCCTTTAGTGTTTACATCATCTGGGATCACAGTCAGAGGTCGCCAGTCGTTTTCAGCTTCATTAAAGTAATATATCATATGGTTCTCCTCTGAAGACCCAATAGACAAGGGGCTCTGTGGGCGACTGCCACAGCGGCTCGGCGGCCGACTACCAACACGATCAAACACGTCATTTACCTCTGCAACCATCAAAGTCTTTTTCCCTTCCATTCTCTTCTTCAAGATCAGATCCCTTTCAGACCCAGTAAGGCGTCCATAAACTGCTGGGTCTTTGAGGATCTGAAGGAAGTTGTCGCTCATGAATCTATAGGCAGTCTCCTTCAGCTCACTGAGTCGCTGCTTCTTAGCGATGGTCAGAATCTCATAGCAGTTCTCTGCTGTGATCTGCTCAGACATGCGGTCCATGGCCGCCTGAACAGCACAGGGGATCTGCAGGATTTTAGCTCCTGTGATGACATCAACCACATTATCCTTGCTAACACTGATCTGGGAGGTGTAAATATAGTCAATTAGTGTTGACAAAGTCTTATAATTCATGCCCTTCACTTTAAGGATGTTACGCGACAGTCGTGCTTTGAAGTAGTCACTTTTTTCTGCAAGGACAGACTTGTGAGCATTGATGGTCTGTCCACCAACTTCAATCACCAAGTCAGGTTCTTTTGTAGTTTGTGCAGCGACAGCTTCCTGGCTGCTGTCATTGCAGCCTTTTGGTTTTAGAACTGACCAATCATTTTCCTGTCTGCTTTGATTTCCAGGGTAATCTGCATTAAAAGACACTTTAGCTTTGGACCCGTTGTGGATTTCTGGACCTTCACTATTTTGCTGCAAAACAGCAAAGGTATTAGACACACCAGAGTCTGCATTAGGAGAGTTGTTTGAAATTCCAGTATTTTTAGAAAGTTGATCCGCTTTTGAGGTATAGGAGCTGCTTCCTTTCAGATGATCACAGTGGTTGTTCTCTATCGGCCTTCCATCGAGCAGGTATTCCTGCTCAAACACTGGAGGAGAGCTGAAATCTGTGTCCCCTTCCAGGAAGCCCTGGACGAAACCTGGACATACATTGTTGTTGGCGAGTGTGACGGGGTCAGGGTTCATGTTGCGGGTGATGGCATCAGCCTCCACAGCGATGGCTCCTCTTCCCTGTCTGAGGCTCTCGTTCATGTCACTCAACTCAGGCGGCGTCCTCGAAGGCCATGATGAGAGATCAGACAAATCGTTCGGTCTGTTTTCTCTCTGACTCTAAACAGAAAAGGAAACAACTGGAGTTAAACTAAGATGGATATAAAATGCAGTGCTTTGAAAAAGTATTTCTCCCTTTACAGATTTCTTCTATTTTTGTTGACATTTAGACAAAGACAGCATGAGTAAGTTTAAATTGCACTTAACAAAGGATTTTTTTTATTTTATATATATATATATATATATATATATATATATATATATATATATATATATATATATATATATATATATATATATATAAAATTGACTAACAGGTCAATTGTGGTACACAAGATGAGTTTGACTACAGAAAGTACTCCAATATATAGAACAGAGAAACATACAATATACACACACACACACATATTTATTTATGTATATATATAAAACACACAAAAAAATATAAAGTATGCATATACATATATATATGCATATGTATATGCATATTTTTCTTCCTGTATTTCAGATAAAAACAATGCAGATGCCATTCAGGTCACAGCTTAAACAACATGTATTAGCAAATTCAAAGAAAACATTAACAGTGGAAAACAAATGTAGGGAGGAGCAATGCAATCACTCCCTTTATCTCACAGCTGTTGAAAATGTTAATATCAGCCTGTCATAAATTATATATATATATATATATATATATATATATATATATATATATATATATATATATATATATACAGGTGCTGGTCATAAAATTAGAATATCATGAAAAAGTAGATTGATTTCAGTAATTCCATTTAAAAAGTGAAACTTGTATATTATATTCATACATTACATACAAACTCATATATTTCAGATGTTTATTTTGTTTAATTTTGATGATTACAAATGACAACAAATGAAAATCTCAAATTCATCATATCAGAAAATTAGAATATTGTGAAAAGGTTCAAAATTGATGGCCCCTGGTGCCACACTCTAATCAGCTAATTAACTCAAACCACCTGCAAAAGCCTTTAAATGGTCTTTCAGTCTAGTTCTATAGGCTACACAATCATGGGGAAGACTGCTGACTTGACAGTTGTCCAAAAGACGACCATCGACACCTTGCACAAGGAGGGCAAGACACAAAAGGTCATCGCTAAAGAGGCTGGCTGTTCACAGAGCTCAGTGTCCAAGCACATTAATAGAGAGGCGAAGGGAAGGAAAAGATGTGGTCGAAAAAAGTGTACAAGCAAGAGAGATAACCGCACCCTGGAGAGGATTGTGAAACAAAACCCATTCAAAAATGTGGGGGAGATTCACAAAGAGTGGACTGCAGCTGGAGTGAGTGCTTCAAGAACCACCACACACAGACGTATGAAAGACATGGGTTTCTGCTGTCGCATTCCTTGTGTCAAGCCACTCTTGAACCACAGACAGCGTCAGAAGCGTCTTGCCTGGGCTAAAGAGAAACAGGACTGGACTGCTGGTGAGTGGTCCAAAGTCATGTTCTCTGATGAAAGTAAATTTTGCATTTCCTTTGGAAATCAAGGTCCCAGAGTCTGGAGGAAAAGAAGAGAGGCACTTCATCCACGTTGCTTGAAGTCCAGTGTAAAGTTTCCACAGTCAGTGATGGTTTGGGGTGCCATGTCATCTGCTGGTGTTGGTCCATTGTGTTTTCTGAGGTCCAGGGTCAACGCAGCCACATACCAGGAAGTTTTAGAGCACTTCATGCTTCCTGCAGCTGACCAACTTTTTGGAGATGCAGATTTCATTTTCCAACAGGACTTGGCACCTGCACACAGTGCCAAAGCTACCAGTACCTGGTTGAAGGACCATGGTATCCCTGTTCTTAATTGGCCAGCAAACTCTCCTGACCTTAACCCCATAGAAAATCTATGGGGTATTGTGAAGAAGAAGATGCAATACACCAGACCCAACAGTTCAGAAGAGCTAAAAGCCACTATTAGAGCAACCTGGGCTATCATAACACCTGAGCAGTGCCACAGACTGATCGACTCCATGCCACGCCGCATTGCTGCAGTAATACAGGCCAAAGGAGGCCCAACTAAATACTGAGTGCTGTACATGCTCATACTTTTCATGTTCATACTTTTCAGTTGGCCAACATTTCTATAAATCCTTTGTTTTTATTGGTCTTCAGTAATATTCTAATTTTCTGATATGATGAATTTGAGATTTTCATTTGTTGTCATTTGTAATCATCAAAATTAAACAAAATAAACATCTGAAATATATGAGTTTGTATGTAATGTATGAATATAATATACAAGTTTCACTTTTTAAATGGAATTACTGAAATCAATCTACTTTTTCATGATATTCTAATTTTATGACCAGCACCTGTATATATATATATATATATATATATACACTATATTGCCAAAAGTATTTGCTCACCCATCCAAATTATTGGAATCAGGTGTTCCAATCACTTCCATGGCCACAGGTGTATAAATTCAAGCACCTAGGCATGCAGACTGTTTTTACAAACATTTGTGAAAGAATGGGTCGCTCTCAGGAGCTCAGTGAATTCCAGCGTGGAACTGTGATAGGATGCCACCTGTGCAACAAATCCAGTCGTGAAATTTCCTCGCTCCTAAATATTCCACAGTCAACTGTCAGCTGTATTATAAGAAAATGGAAGTGTTTGGGAACGACAGCAACTCAGCCACGAAGTGGTAGGCCACGTAAACTGACGGAGCGGGGTCAGCGGATGCTGACGCGCATAGTGCGAAGAGGTCGCCAACTTTCTGCAGAGTCAATCACTACAGACCTCCAAACTTCATGTGGCCTTCAGATTAGCTCAAGAACAGTGCGCAGAGAGCTTCATGGAATGGGTTTCCATGGTCGAGCAGCTGCATCCAAGCCATACATCACCAAGTGCAATGCAAAGCGTCGGATGCGGTGGTGTAAAGCACGCCGCCACTGGACTCTAGAGCAGTGGAGACGCGTTCTCTGGAGTGACGAATCGCGCTTCTCCATCTGGCAATCTGATGGACGGGTCTGGGTTTGGCGGTTGCCAGGAGAACGGTACTTGTCTGACTGCATTGTGCCAAGTGTAAAGTTTGGTGGAGGGGGGATTATGGTGTGAGGTTGTTTTTCAGGAGCTGGGCTTGGCCCCTTAGTTCCAGTGAAAGGAACTCTGAATGCTTCAGCATACCAAGACATTTTGGACAATTCCATGCTCCCAACTTTGTGGGAACAGTTTGGAGCTGGCCCCTTCCTCTTCCAACATGACTGTGCACCAGTGCACAAAGCAAGGTCCATAAAGACATGGATGACAGAGTCTGGTGTGGATGAACTTGACTGGCCTGCACAGAGTCCTGACCTCAACCCGATAGAACACCTTTGGGATGAATTAGAGCGGAGACTGAGAGCCAGGCCTTCTCGTCCAACATCAGTGTGCGACCTCACAAATGCGCTTCTGGAAGAATGGTCAAAAATTCCCATAAACACACTCCTAAACCTTGTGGACAGCCTTCCCAGAAGAGTTGAAGCTGTTCTAGCTGCAAAGGGTGGACCGACGTCATATTGAACCCTATGGATTAGGAACGGGATGTCACTTAAGCTCATATGTGAGTCAAGGCAGGTGAGCAAATACTTTTGGCAATATAGTGTGTATATATATATATATATATATATATATATATATATATATATATATATATATATATATATATATATATATATATATATATATATATATATATTTATATATATGTGTGTGTGTGTGTGTGTATACCATTCAATCTTTAATATATATAGAGACATTTATGGGTTATTTTTAAAATGTATAAAATATATATTTTTTTATATGTGCAAGTCTTCTTTTATTCCAAAAGTTTGTTTGCAACATTTTTACATTATATTTCATAAATTAGAAGTTAATGTTGAATAACGAAAACAATATAATTAAAACCAGAATGTAATCAATCTGTAAGGGGGAGGTTTTTACCTTTCCACTGCGGTGCAAAGACTTTTTTATTCTCTAAGAGGCGCCATTTCTCTATAAAATCAATCCGTTGATCATCTATTATTATTAAAATGTAACAATTTCTTTAGATCGTGTCGCCAGACACGTGAAGTGAATGGAAACGGTTCCTACAAAGATCCTGAACATTCCGTCAGAGTCATCACTCTGTCCTTTAAATGTGCTAATCTGGAGACAATTAGAGCGCATGCGCAAACGGAGTTGACTCCGTAGTGATTTTAACCTGATGGCCTACATTTCTATTCTTTTTTTAAAAACTACATAAAAGCTTATTGATGTATTGTACTGTTATCGCATTGAAGACACAGGAACACTTTGACAGAAAGATGTTCATCTATTATGGATCACAGTGGATCCAGGGTATTGCTGTGAATCCATTGAAATGAAGTGACCTACCTCTGATTCTTTGCTCTGGTTAACCAGGTCGGTAGCAGCACTTTCTATCAGCTTCTCCAAAGCTCAGTTACATAAGGCGGCGCTGATCAGGCAGCCGGTCTGCGGTTCAGTGACTCTCATAGCGGGATATCCCTTCCGATCAGAGTGGATCCGCATCTCCTCTCTACTCCTGCTGCATTGACAGCGCGATCCTCAACTCTACAGCGCTCAGAGAAACGAGGCAGAGCGATCAAGGAGCTGAGCCAGGTCACACCTCCTCCTCCTCCTCCTCCTCATCAGCTCCGCCGTGTCATTTCTTCCACAGGATCGGAGGAGCTGCGCACATCCAGAGTCCCTGTTCTTCCCTCTTCTCCAAGGAAACTAGAGCTTTCTCTCTCTCTCTCTGTGGGGATTCCAGGTTGGAGAGTCAGTTTTCGTTTTCAAACCGAAATAAGGAGGTTATTACTGATCTAATCCCGCCCTCTTCACAAATAATTAACCCTACACTCAGCGACGCGCAGCTCCTGGTCTGCTTTGCGCGCAACAGACGCGTCCAAGAGATGCGACATTCCGTCACGCATGTAGGATAATCCGCCACGGATGGCAGAGCAACAAGAAGCAGTAAACGTTTTATAAAATGGAAAACTTAATTTAGTCCAGTAATTGAAACTCATATACTGTAGACGTTCATAACAGTGAAATAGTTTATACATACTCATACAACTATTTAAAAAAGCCTAGACCAGCGGTCTGCAACCTTTAATATCAAAAGAGCCATTTTGCCTCTAGACTTGCTAATTCAGTTAAGTTCAGTTTATTTATATAGCGCCAATTCACAATACATGCCATCTCAAAGCACTTTACAATTCAACCAGATAATAAAGTCATATTGATTCAAAGTTTTCTATCTAAGGAAAACCAGTTGATTGCATCAACTCATTGACTGGAAGGCAATCCCTCACACTAAGCATGTTTGTAGCATGTCACAGCGAAACAGGAAAGGACCAGCTGAAGCTACTATTAGAAAAAGCAGAGAGATCATAGCATTAGAGATTGAACTAACACATTTTGCAGAATCGAGATAGAATGAAGCAGAAAAATGAAAAAGGGATCCCTATGTCCTCCAGTAGTCTAAGCCTATAGCAGCATTACTATAGAAAGAGCTCAGGATAACCTGAGCCACTCTAATTAAAAGCTTTATCAAAAAGGAAAGTTTTAAGCCTACCCTGAAGTCATTTGCTCTCATTCATAGTTTTGATCTAAGGAAAACCAGTTGATTGCATAGACTCATTGACTCCAAGGCAATCCCTCACACTAAGCATGCTTGTAGTGACAGTGGAGAGAAAAAACTCCCCTTTAACAGGAAGAAACCTCCAGCAGAACCAGGCTCAGTGTGAGCGGCCATCTGCTGAGGCCGACTGGGGTTCAAAGAGACAGAAGCAGAGATACAAAAAGATTAATTACATGAATTTAATTAAAAGTTGCTTAGTACCGCAAATTATTCTATGACATTTTAATAAAACACAACCAAATATTTTTGTTAAAGTATATGTAATAGGAAATGTGTCACAAAACTTTAGGTTGATTAGACTTTTTTTTTTTATATTCCCCCCTGCAGTTTTTTCCACTAATTGAAATGTCTTTAAATACTCATTAACATGAATTCAGCACACTGTAGTAAACAGATAAATGGAGGCAGAAGATGTCTTTCAGTCATCAATGCACACATTCAGCAACACACTGGAGCTCTTTCAAGCTGGGCACCATTTCCTTCACAACACCTGTCCCATCAAAGAGGAATCAGAATCAGAAATACTTAAATAATCCCAGGGAGACATTACTTTGTTACATTACTCGGTCTGTAATAGAGTGACTATAGGACCAGTTTGATAACACAATTTCATACAATATATATAATTAGGGGGTCCCTGCTCCATCTTACCATCCCACCTGGCCTAGTGGGTTAAAGCAGAGTGCTGAAGGTTCGATGCTGCCTCCCTTCTAGGTTCTTGAGCAAGTCCTTTAACCCCCTGATTTCTCCCCGGGCGCCGCACATGGCAACCCACTGCGCCGCAAAGGGATGGGCTAAATGCAGAGGTAAATTTATGCAATGCAAGATCAATAAAGTTCAATTATTATTAAATTGCAAATAATTTACTGCTGATGGGAGTATTTTTAGTAGGCTGGTATTTGTTTTAAAAAACTTAATTGAAATTATGTTAATTTGGAGTTTTCATAAGCTATAATCATTAAGTTATAAAAAATGCATCAAGCAAACTTATTTGCATAAATAAAACCTCAAGACAAATAGCAGCTTTTAAAACTTAGGAAACCCGGATACCATATTAAGGCCTCCTCCATGGCAAAGTCTTAACAACTGGCCTTCAGGTGTAAAACAGAAAGGAGCCAATAAGAAAGAATCCTAGAACTATTTGGCTCGTGAGAAAAGGAGCTTTAATGTCAGCAGCTAGGAACAAAGAGCACTGATATGGGGACAGTTTGTCATGGAAACCTCAGTGTCTGAAGGAAACAAAACAAGCATTCTGGTGTCGCAACTGTCAGGCAAACTTATTACTGCGTTATTCTGTTGGTTCCCTGAGAACGAATCAGTTTGATATTTTGCTTCAGTAATAAGAGTTGGTTTAGGCTGCAGTGTGGGAGGGAATCCAGCTTATATTTTTGGTCAAAACTGATCATTTAAGGAAACGTGGCTGTTGTGCAACCTTGGACGTGGGCGCTTGTGAGAGACGAAATCCTTGACCTGCTTCTGTTGTGCAGCAGGAGAAATCCCGGAAGAGCTGTATCAGGCCCAGTTCCTGCGGCCCCCTCAGGCACATTGCTAGTCTTGGCATGTACTGATTGCTGCACATAACACAGTGGAGTACAAGGCTGGAGAGAAATGTCAGTACTGACCCTCTTTTTAAGTTTTTGCTTATCAGCGATTTAAAATATTTGATCAACTTTGTTTTAAGGGTTCAACATGAATGAATGAAAACAAAACCCTAAAAATGTTTTATACGATATAATGAAGGAATATTTTAAAACCTCTGTCTCAAAATAAAAGTGCAAAACTCCCAAAGTTTGCTTAATAAAACATTGTTTATACAGTTGTTAACATACATAGTTACATACAAGTGTGATGAAAGTATAAATCATTTTATTGTTTGTTTTTTTAAATATATAGAAAACAAACATGCATTAGAAAAAAGGGGGAAAAAAAGAGACTTTGTGATAACTTGTCTTTCTCCCTTTGTGAACAGAAACCTGGCCCGCCAGGGATGCTTAGATGCCTCTCAAATTAATGCAGCCGTCAGAACTTTGTTTGGTGGCTTAAATCCCTTTTTTTCCCATTTAAAGAAAAATCAAATCTCTCTCTGACTCATCACACTTCAGATTTAAAGCTCTAAACCTAATGGGTGATCTAAACCAGGCTGGAAGCAGTTTCAAAGCTCCATTCTTACCTTGCACGCCCTCCAAGAACCAGTTTATTACTTAACATTTTCCTTTTAAACACTGATTTAAATACTACAGTCTAACACATACATCCGAGACAATTAACATCACTTAGTCGTGTCAAAGAATAACATCAAACGGCATAACATTCAGCCAATATATATTCTTTTTTTTACAGTGCAGTGCCCTGTATAAGTACTTATACCCCTTGCGCTTTTTTCACATATAGTCTCTTTTTGGCAAAGTGGTAATAAGATGGATATTGTTGAAAGGACACCATGAAGGAGTGGTTTGCACAAGCAAAACATCTGCTTGATCCGGTCACATGTGACCAAAATGTAACTGAAACCAAACACTGTTTATCATACTGCACACACCATCACAGTGAAACATAGTGGTGGCGACATTATGCTGGCTTTTCTTCAGTGGGACCATGGCAACGCAGGATTCCTCAAGGAAAAAATTGTTAGAGGAAACAAGATACTTAAGATGGGAGCAAAGGTTCACCCTTCAGCAGGACGTTGGACCAAAACATACAGACAGATCTGGAACAGAACGGATTAGATTAAAAGAAATACAAGTGTTATAAATGCCTGTTCAAATCCACAAACTAAGGATCTGTATCAGATTTAACTGTTTTGTAAAGAAGATTTAAGTTTCAGTCTCCAGATGTGGGAAGCCAATAGAAATACAAGACTTTCAGATGAATTTCAGCTATAAAAGATGCTGTATTTCCTTCTTTTTTTCCCTTTTCAATTCCCAACTATTTTATGGCTTAAAACCCCAATATTCCAATTATCAAGATACCTTTTCAAATGTTGCAATGTAACAAATGCAGGTTGGGTTGTGTGAGAGTGAAGTGGCTACTCTTGAAAAAGTTGGTGTTGAAAAGTAGGTGTTAAAAGCACTAACACAAAGTATAATGCGTGTTTTTTCCAATAACCTGAAAAGGCAGGGATGTTCTGTTTATATTGGAGGAGACAAACATTTTGGTGTAAAATAAGTCAGTAAGTTCTTTTGATTGACACAAATACTTGTTGAAGTGTTAGAGCATTTGGTTTAAAGTGAAAAAATGAAAGTATGAGGAAGATTTTGTGAAGTCTTCAGATATTTAAACCAACACCAGTGGGCTGTTGGTGTCACATGTTCAGTAAAGGGATTTGCCAGATCATGATAGTGGAGGTGCTGTCCTCGTGGCGAGACTGCTTGGTCTTTTTGTTGACTCTGCGGTGGCCCAGGCCTCCAGACACAACTAGCAGAGAGCTGACTTCAACCTTGCTGGAGCGACGCCCCCTCTGGTGATGGGCGGGGTCATGAAGCAAGTCATACAAGGCCCCATCCTCTGGACCGTGCTCCAAGGAACCCTGGGAGGGAGCTAAGGATCCGCAGGAGGAGGAGGACAGAGAATCCTGAAGAGCCATGGTGGTACAGCCCGCCTCGCCCAGCCACACCCCGCGTCCCAGAGGAGGACTGGAGGCCGCATCTGGGACAGGCTGGACGCTCTCTGCATCCGCAGACTCCATCTGCTTGGATGAAGGGGAAGAGGTGGAGGGTGGGAGGGTAGATGACCAGTTACGCACCGCCATTGCCATAGTGAGGAACTTGACGGGCCCATTGTGTGCATGTAATGACACCATCCCTCGACCTAAAGTAAAGGTAAAAAAACAAGTTAATTAACAAACATTAAATAAAACTTAAACATGTGGCCTATGACAAATATATAAAGGCAATAGAAAACATGTGAGCAAAAAAAAAACTTACCAAAACCTACAATGCACTGAGGACCACCCTGATTACTATTCATTTGGGTCAATAAAGATGCAAGCTGCTTAATTTACTGTTTCAGATGCTTGGTGGGAAATTCAGACTCTTGATGGGGATGAAACTATGTGGCACTATTTTCCATCCCTGTTCCAGTTCATTTGTACTAAAGCTGCCCCTTCAATGATTTAGGGGATTACAGTAGAAAAGCTGATTTTTCTTACAGTGGGGGGTAAAATGAATTGGGGGTTCAAAACATCAAGTCCTGTAAATGTAAAGCTTCTCTGAAAACTGCAGCAACATTGTTGATAACGATTAACCCACATTCTACTGGCTCTCTTATTTCTTTATCATATCTAAAATGGTTTATGAGGCAAAGCACTTTGACAAAGAAGAAACAGATCAAAAACATCACAAAACCTCCACCGTGCTTTACAGTAGGCAATGGGAGCTTTTATTTATATACTAAAAAACCCAACTAATTCTTATCATCTGTTTCCTGCACATGGTTCCAGTTAAAGTCCCATTAGCAAGTGGAAAACTCCACATGTTTATGTTTGATCACTGAGGACAGAAAGGCTTTTTTCCAGGCATGTATCTCAAACAACCAGTTTACCGTAGATAGTGTCTAATGGTTGGAGAGCAAAGCTTGATGCATCCACCCTTATGCGTGGAGGCAAAATTAACATCAGTCCTCATCCAGACTAGTTGCTGATGGCAACCAGGCTGAAGTTGCTTTTTTGTGTTTTGTTTCAATGCCAGGGACGGAGAAATAGATGGATTATTATTATGAAGTTTCAAGTCTCATTGAACCAAGGGCTTTAGTGAGATTGATTTAGTAGAAATTGTTGGGCATGTCAATGTGTTGGACAGGTGACATTTTCCAACTGAATAAATGTCAGTGTATTAAAGTCAGTATTCATCCAAAGCATCAGTGTTAGGTGCAGACACTGCAGTAAAGTTAAAGGAATAGTACACCCAAAACATGATTAGCCTTCATTTTCTACTCACCCCCATGCTGAACAACACTCTGGAGTACTTTTTTGATATCTCAAATGCATCTGGAGATCTGGGAGGCTTCTTGCTGTCTGCTGACATTCAAATAATGGAGGTCTATGGCGCCCGAGACAGAAAGGTCCATAAAAGTCCACAAAAACGTGTCAATATTCCTCCATACTGCTCGTCCAATGTAATCCAAGTGTCCTGAGTGGGTAGTATCCAGAATTTACTCGAAACGAAGTCATTTAGAACGTTTTAGAGCCTAAACAGTAGTGTATAGGATTTCCTAATAGCGCCCCCATGCGCGCTCACGATTCTACGGAAGCCGGCAGACCAAACCAGCGCATTCAGCTCGGCAAAGAACTCATGCTCTTCCTCAACACTGAAGTCCTCAGACATTTTTCTTTCGTTGTTTCTTTCTTTGCACAGGTAAACAGCACATTTCTTCTTCTACGCTTGCATTATCGGCAGAGCAGACGCTGAATGCGCACTTTCTTCCGGTTTGGTCTGCCGGCTTCCGTAGAATCGTGAGCGCGCATGGGGGCGCTATTAGGAAATCCTATACACTACTGTTTAGAATCTAAAACGTTCTAAATGAATTCGTTTCGAGTAAATTCTGGATGCTACCCACTCAGGACACTTGGATTACATTGGACGAGCAGTATGGAGGAATATTGACACGTTTTTGTGGACTTTTGTGGACCTTTCTGTCTCGGGCGCCATAGACCTCCATTATTTGAATGTCAGCAGACAGCAAGAAGCCTCCCAGATCTCCAGATGCATTTGAGATATCAAAAAAGTACTCCAGAGTGTTGTTCAGCATGGGGGTGAGTAGAAAATGAAGGCTAATCATGTTTTGGGTGTACTATTCCTTTAATAGTCAACTAGAGCTTTTTAAACATCTTTAAAAATGAAACTTAGAGCTGGTGCAACACAAAGAATTATCTATAACTTAAATATTATCTCATCAAAAATTATGATTAAGATCTTTGATTTCTCCAGAGTCAAATCTAATCCCCTTTATTTCTGTTACCTGTTACTTTGGGGATCCCCTGTAGTCTGGGGACAGACAAAGCCACAGTCACTCCCAAGTTAGTCCCTACTAGCAGCAAACCGTGGCTAACCAGCAGACTGCTCACAGAGACTCTCTGGTTTCCTGCAGAAAAAGCAAAACAGTTTTTTCTTATATTAATCAAGGTGTTCTCAAGAATAAATCCAGTGGTATTTTGCATATAAAGAAGCAAGGCTTTGGCAAACACATGCTCCCACGCAGTGTCTCCTGGAAATTACAAAAAAAAGCATAGTTAATGGCTCACTTCCCCAGAAAGGGAGGGATATGCTTTGTTTTAGTATGTGGCAACATTTTCTGCAGCCATGATGTTCAAAGCTTGCTTGTCTCCAGGGCAACGTGAAGAGGAGCGAGGATAAAAGCAGCCCTTTTCAAATGCCTGAACAAAGAGAAAATGCAGCACTACAGCCAGCTTTGAGACAAGCAAACAACACAGAAAGTGTTATGTAACAAGCTGAGTGGAGCGTAATGCTGTAATTAAGGAAGAAGCTCTGCCGCTATTCAGGAAACTTATGGCTATTACAGCAGGACAAGCTAACACGACCTTTTCCTTTCTCCTCTGTTCAGAAAAATCACTGAAGCCTGTTCAGACTGTAAAAGCTCCGATTGTTCAGTAAAAGACTCTTTTCAGTAAGGATGGTGATAAAATCCGGCTGCTGGCAAACCTTTTAGATACATGCCACTTCGGCCATGCAATAAAATCTTTCATGGAGGTTTTGCAATGAACCAGCTATGCTAATATGAACCCGTTAGTAGCTGAATATTTTTAGCACATTTGATGCTGCAAAATGCATTTTACATTTTGCTAAAAAAAGGCTTTTCGGGGCCCGCTTTGTGGGAGGCCAGACTGCCATGAGTCATTACTGCTGTAACAGCTTGACTTGAATTTCCTCCCTCTAAGTAATCCTCTTGGGTTTTCTGAAAAAATTACTGCCGGTCTATGTGCCTAACCCCCCACCCCCTTCACTAGAGCTGACCCCATGCATGGGGCACACACGCCAGGCTGCCTTAGTTCTTAAATTCCTGCCAGATAGGCAGGCTGGTACAGTTTAACACAAACGTCTTGCCCACATGTGCTTCTAATGAGGGCTGAGAGTCGGGATAAAAAAAACACAAAGTCCTGGTCAGAGGCCTTGCTTAACTTAACTTCCTCCCTTCATAATATTTGGAGTTCCCCACCCAGAGGGTGAACTAAAATAAACCCTATGAGAGCATCAACATGGCCCGACTCGGACCCAGATTCTACAGGAGGGAACCTCTTTGATCCTGACAAAAAGTAGCAGGAGGGAGGGGTAGATTTCAAAAATTACAGAAACACTCCATCAGCCATTCAGTCAGTCCAGAAATACCTCAGATCAGCACATTGTGATTAATTGCCTATTGATGTAGCCGTGACCCAAAAGCTTTTCCTGCAGATGAAGACAGAAATGCTGGGTTATTTCTTTTAGCCCAAATCATTAGATGTATGCCGGTGGGAATACAGCGTGAGAGGGTTTAACCAGAGAGTTGGCAATAGAGTATAAGAGGGTTACTAACTGTTTTATTATAGGATGCAATTAGCCTCAACACTAACTTGTAGCCCAATTGTACCAGCTGTCATTCATCCAATTCTATTTTAATTTTTTTCATCTTCAATATATGCATTAATTATGTGTATTTCTTATCCAAACAATGGGAAAAGAGGGAGATTTGTCTTATAATAAATAATATAATTAATATTTTAGTTGACGACTATTTAGGGGAATATCATGTAAAATTCATGTTATTAGTTTTCAAAAACAATTCTAAAAAAAAGAGACTATATATATATTTTTTAAGTTGTTTAGAAAATCCATATTTCTGAATGAGATTTCATTCATTTTCAGAGAAAAATAAATACAATAAATGGAAAACACTGCGGACAATGAGTGCATAGTACCGCAAATTATATATTGACTCATCAGTTATTAAGAAATGATGAATCCTACTGCTTGGTAATTATAAGACTCATGTTCGAAGCATTTTTAACAAGAAACAACTTGGCTTAATCACTATTATCAGCTTTAAGTGATGTTACAGCTCTCTATATAGGGTTGTATCCACTGTCTTTCCAGCACTATTCCACTCTTTTCATTGTTTTTTTTATTTCAAATCAGTGAATGTTGTTTTCCGGCCAACAATAATCACATCTGGTTCAAGTTGCCTGTACTATTACTGGTAAAAAAAACAACAACAAAGAAACATGAAGGAAGATTATCTACCAGCCCACTGATAAGTTCCTTTAGACCATGCATGGCTGCATATTTAGGTCACAAAACATGAGACAAAGGAAGCCCCTTACCACTGCAGCCAGTCGACCTTTCCCTTGAGACATGATCAAAGAGCAACCAGCTCTTATATTAAACTAAAACCTTTAGTTTTGGGGGAAAGTCTTAAAAGCATTATTCCTAAACTGACTGTGATAAATAAACCTCCCTCTTTTCTGTAATGGCATGGTTATCTTGATGCAGTGCACTGATTTAGGTTTTCAGAGGCACCAAATGATTTCTATTACAGTTTATTAGCCATCTGCGGGCATGCTGCCTGGATAAGGAAGCTCTGTCTGCAAAGGAGGGAGTTGGCAGAACTGCTTGAACGTGCTTGAACACGAGAAGGATAACTCCACCTATAGCACCTCCTTGATTCAACACTGCACCATTGATAAAGGCAGACAGACTGAGGAAAACACCCCATGTTTTTTTTTTTTTTTTTACTTTGGTTGAAATAATATTGCTGAATCAGCAGTGGTCTTGGCTGTGCTGATGAGCCATAATTACATTAAGACTTTGTACACACTGGACAATCCTACCTCAGTGTAATGTAATTCCTTGCTATCTTCTTTATAAACAGATTATGTTATTCTGCCTCTGTGAATAAACATCAATACAGTGCAGAACTGCAGGGGAACTGGCCATCATTCATTTCTTCTAACACACAGATTAGAGTCAATCCATCTAGTCCAGTTTGGCTCTTAAACCCGGTTACGTCAGATTTTGTGCATAAGCGGCCGAGTTTTTGTTTTCGCTCTTTTCCCCAGCATCCTGCCACGCAACAAAAATAATAAAAAATGACAAAAACACTAAAGCAGGCAAGAGTTAACAATACCTTTTTGGGAAAACTTCCAGAATTTAGTTTCTGAAGCTAAACATTGCTCACAAAAACCTTTAATCTTCCATGCAGACTTACTGTCTCTGATCTGAATATCAACATCAGAGGAAATGAGCTATTAATGGCACTGCAGAGAAGATGAACGCTTTCATGTGTTTGGTTTGTCCTAGAAGCAGCTTCCTCTGTGGTTGCATGGATTCTATTAACTCATAAAGATTGTGAGGTCCCACAGCAGATCGCTTCTATCACCTTCCTCTGTCAGACAAAGAGCACTTTCACTGCTTACTCTAAGCAGTGGATATCATATGGAGGCAAACACATCTACTTTATGGAGAGTGTCAGCTCCTACATCTTTACTGGGATTTACACTTTTCCTTTATCCATTGATCTTTTAAAGTTACTTTATAAGTGTATTGTGTTGTGGGCTAAAGCCAAAAATCAAACAGATACAAGCTTGGATTGGACATCCTTTAGGGAGCTCTGCAATAAATTAAATCTGGCAATAAGTAATTCAAAGTTTTATACATATTATTCAAAAATCTTCAAGAATCAAAACCACTTAACATTCTAAAAAGCAATGAGGTCAGAAGTTCTAAAAAAAAAGTAGTGATTAAAGACTTCATATCCAGAATTAAAGAAGAAAAAACATGAGTTGAGTGCTTCTTATCCCAAATAGGATTAAATCTATTAATATTAGGCTAATAAATGAATACCTGAGTCAGGTCACAGTTATGTTCACGTTCAGTTTAAAACAACTTAAGTACATAAAGTTATTAAATATTTACCTATCTTAATCAAGGAGTATTAAACGCTCCTTGAATTCGCTGTATCCACAGCTTAGCAGTGAATTTGAAAGGTCAAGCAATTCTCCAATACTGCTTTCTTAACTTGTTGCAGGTCTTTATATAAGTTTTATAACCCTAAATTAAACTGTTTGAGCTTGTAATCTATTCAGGGTTTGAAAATTTGATCAAAAAATAAAACTGAAAACAGATTTTTTCCCTTTCAGCGAAAAGGGAATTCATGACTTTCTCCTCGCTCAGCTTTGCTGCGCTCCAGATCCGCCTGAAAAAAAGTGAGGGAAAAGGACAACGTGCCTACTAATTAAAGATCAGCCGTAACTAAAAGGCTTCTTAGGCCTTGTGTATTTATAATAAAAGCATAAATAACTTAAAAACAATATGAAATCTGTGTGTTTGATGTCAGGAATTAATCAGGACCAGGAATTTAGTTTGATTGGATTCTGTAAAAAAAAAAAGGAAAAAAGACACTAGCTTGTGATTTGTCACATTTCCATAATTTCAGATTAAAAAATAATACATTTAGAGATATATAATCTAGCCAATGTGTTATTAGATTGTTTGTCCAATAATTTTGAGTTTTTTACAGTTCTGTATTTAAGTGGATTCCAAATTGCTACCCATAAAACCAGCAATACAGTTTGGCATTGCTGGGCATTATATCACCGTGACCAAAAGGTCATCCTGCAGATTATGGGTTTTGGCAGGAAGATTTGATTTGAACTTAATGATTAAGCTTACAATCAAAATGAATACAGCATTGTGTCTTCTTAGGAAACTTCATAAAGTTGTTTTAGTAGAACTAACGATGTTTAGCACAACCTGGAAAGCTTCATTTAAAGTGAATTTAACTTGTGTGTTCTTCTTTTAGGCCGTCAAATAAATATTTGCTCTCCACTATAAAACTCACCTGGATTCACATTTTCTATGAGCCATGGTTCATTTACCTCACCCTGCCAGGGCAGTGCAAATAGCGCAGCTACTTAGTGACAGGTTTACAGCTGCACTGCCTTACACAGACTGAGAGGTTAGCCATTTTATCAGAACGGTTTAAAGTAAAGGAAACTGTTTATCAAAAAAAAAAAGAAACAAATATTTCTAGCACTTTCTGCTAAGAGTAATCATCAGTGAAGGTAAAAAAAAAACAACTTCAGGAATGAAACCATTTTTCTATCTGGTTACTTACAAAGGTGCCTTCAAAATTAGCTTTCAATAAAAAAGTGAAGTAAAGAATGAAAGCCTGTTTCCCAGAGTAGCTATACAGGATTGTCTTTTATATCAATATCCTTTACTGTTGCAGATAAGACTGACATATTGCAAAGAAGCAGTGGAGTAAATGTCCTGTACTGTACCTATTTTTTCAAGTCAGGAGACTTGACCAAAGTGCTTTACCCTACATTCAGTTATTCAGCCATTCACACACTGATGGTGGCAAGCTACATTGTAGCCACAGTTGCCCTGGGGCTCACTGACAGAAGCAAGGCTGCCGTACTCTGGCGCCACCGAGGCCCTCTGACCACCATCAGAGTGATTAATGTTGTGATAAACAATGAGACAAAATCTTCTAATCCAATAAAGGTCTCTGTTCAGAGCAGCAATTCCTTGTTTATTTCTTATATATACTGGTGAGAAATGCAAACACTGTTCGGTATCAGAGTAAAGCAATCCAATAAAAACAGTTGGATTCTAACACGTTTACTTTAGCACTACCTGCTAGAGAGACATTTATGGAGTTATGAGTTTATTCAGGTAAATGAAAATATCTGGTTTCTGTGGTAAACTTGGCAACATGGTAAATAATAAAACAGTTTGAAGCAGTATTACATAAGGATCACTTAAACCAGGGAAATAGCTGATCGTTTAATCAACTGTACATGTTTGTCAGCAAACGTTAAGCATAGGATGAAGAAATCCTTCAAACTTATATTTCCAAGAACAAAAACAATATATTTGCAATAATTGAAAACTACAGTTCCCTTCAGTCAATTAACTCAGTTCAACACATGAGTATGGGCTATTAGGTCCCGACTGAAGGTACCTCTAATCTAATCGCCTCCAATGCGAATGACGTGATGACAATGACTGATAGTCACTCCTCACGCTATATATCCTGCTGTGTATAGCGTGTTTTTCAAACATGGGTCGACCCGCTAACAACTGGCATTTTGCTCCCTTCCCGTTGGCAAAAAAGCTGGTTCTAAGCCTTGCTGGCAAGTTGCATGACCCCTGTCCCCCTTCAGCTGTGTATCTGGTGACACCATCACACTGGGTTAGCTTTGATGATGTCACCAGTGCGACAGAAATCAGTGGACAATGGAGAGCAACATGTAAGGAAGCCAGGGTGTAGTAAGAGAGCTTTATCGTTTCGCTCTATTATCTCTCTGAATTCCACTCACCAGTTCTGCACCATGTTTACTGAATGTAAAGTTCTTTTAGCTTAACATCAGAAGCGACTGGCGCGATGTGCTGACGTCCGTACGTCGCGTTTATTGATGTCACGTAATTTAGTGGGTCAACCTGGCTCTGGTGTTCCCACAGCATGCTGATCGGAGCCGAGGCGATTTTAACACAGGTCGCTTGCCAAGTCGTTTGACCCGGGTAGACAGACGCCAATGAGCTGTTTCCACTGCTACTAAAAGCCGATTGTTCGCAGGTTTAAATGGGTTTTTCAGCCACTGGGGAAGGGTTATACTGTAAATCAGGCTAGCTGCTGGTTAGCCCTGTATTTTTTTCTTAAAAGACTTCTTTAAATTTAGTGTAACAGCTTTTGATGATATTAGCTGCTGCCACCTGCTGGTAGGCATGTCTATACACTAAGCGCTAATTTCCACCAGCTTTGTGGTTTGGCAGAAGTCTTCTACTTGTTGGGTTATTTTGTTCCGTCTCCAGCTTCATCGTTTAACCTTGGAGGAGCGGTGGGCCAGCATCCCTTTCATCCAAACATTTTAGGTTCTCTACTGCTCAGTTGGAGATCAATTTTACAAGTGCAGGTACCCACTGCTCATGCCTTAAACTCCATTATGACACTCCCAGCTAACCTGCAGTGTGCCTGGCAGCTTTAAGGTTTCGACACTGCAAAGTAAGGGCTTTTTATTTTCCACAGCTGCTGTTTCTGCCTGCCATGTTGGTTTTAATGGAGCTACACCAGGTGCTCATCCTCAGGGTGTGTGCTTCTTAGAAGATGTTCCTTGACTCAAAGTAGTGATTAAACCCAGTTTCCCATCCTGGGATCTCAGGGTAATACTTGATGCTCAATGTGACCATCCAATCAATATGAGGAATACCTTTCATAGGTACGGGAGGGTTTAAATCCTTACCAGGTAGAATATTGTTAACGGTTGTGGCAATGTTAATGTCCTGCAGGTGCTCCAATGTCTCAGTGTGAAAGAGGCGCAGAGTAGAACCGGAGCTGAATGCGATCCAGATGCCCACCCCGGCCACCACCATGTGAGACACCACCATGCCCTCTTCTTGGTGGGCCTCCAGCTGCCTCTGCATCAGCAAGGTAAAACAAGACAATACTGTTTTCACCTTCCAAGCTTCACATTAGACTGAATAATCTTTTATTTCCGATAAATTCAAAAGAGTACTGATTTGTGTACTTTTCACCTACCATGGCTAGAAACTTCTCATGTTGTGAATTACAAATATGTAGTCAGATTGAATGGAAATTTAGCTCTTTAGACAAATAAGAAATCTTCATAATTTATATGATCAGAACATACATCTGAATGATAAAAGAACATCACAGGTTTAATTCATATTCATCTAAATGAAAAAATATACATATTGTAAATAAAAGTTTCTCTGCTGTTGGTTCTTTGCAAAAATCCTCTTTAACCGATAGGGCAGCATTTGAAGGGTCCTTTTTTATCTGTTTTTGAGATGGCTGTTCATGTTCATTAGAAAAGGCTTCATTAAATCCCCTCAAAGCAGCTTTTTATTCTGTCTAGCACGTGAAAACTGCTATATTCAAAGAAGTATTACTTGCCCATAAGGTTTCTTTGAGATGTACTGAACAGATGAGTTAGCTCTTTTGTGTTGGGTCACCCTTTTTTGTAGCTGTTTTTCAGATTCTTCAGTGCATGGCTTTGAAGGTTTTAGGTTTGGAAGGAACCAAAGAGTATGAGGGCTCACACTTAAATATTGGATGTGGCACTAAATCTGGACTGGGTAAAGTTAAAAGGTTTGAAATACTAAATAAGATTAAACATTGTGCTGTGAAAACCAAGATGTGATTAATATCACCTCTGTGAAAACCATCCGCCATGACTGCCACAGCTCAACCAATCTGCTTTGACCCACAATGACTAATGGGAAATTGTGGGTCACAGACTAACAAGCTCTGCTGTTATGCTGGGGCAAAAATATTTTGGTTTGGGAATTGAAACAGCTTTGAAAGCAGACCAACAGATAGATTTTTTTATATAATGTTAATAAAGATTGCATGAAATATACTCTAAAGTAGGAGAGATGGGTCAGCAGGATCCCAGATCTGTGCCTCTTCTTCCCAGTGGACATAAGGTGCCATTCCACAAATTCATCCTTGTTTAGGCTCAAATAGTGTTTGATGTAGAAGAGCTTGTTCTTAAAAAAGGCTCTTCCTAGTCACCATGCATCGAAGCTAGATAAATACAGTTCAATTAAAAAAGGTAAGCTATCAATAAAAATGATACAGTAATATAACAGTGATATTAAATAGGACTTTTAGAGACCGTAATGACCATAGCTCTAATGAATTTGTAATAAACAATATTTTTCTGATTAGTCAGCCTCAGCAGATGGCCGCTCATCTGCTGATGAGTTTTTCCTCTCCACTGTCGCCGCAAGCATGTTTTTGGTGTGAGGGATTGCCTTCAAGTCAATACAGTAAGTTGATGCAAGGAACTTAGATAGGAAACTTTGAATCAACTTGACTGTATGATCTGGTTGATTTGTAAAGTGCCTTGAGATGACATGTACATAAATAAACTGAATTGAATATCTCTTATTCCTGAATGTTTTTAAGCTGTAAATGATTTTTCCAGCGGAGTTCGAGCTCCTAGACTAGTGATTCATTTGTCTTCAGGTTTTCTTTCCCAGGGATGTTATAAATCTGAGTGGTACTGTAAGTGTGGGGGTGTTTGCAGGCCATCTCCTGTACTGCCACTTGTTGACTGTGGATGATGAAAAACCTGCAACCCACTGAAACCTTGATTACACTGCTTCCCTCCTTGGAACATAAGTGCTGGTTATATCTGCACAGATATTTGCTTTGGAGACGAAATACAAAAAATATAGATATATATTTTAATAAAATGATTTGGAAAGACCAGATGGTGGATTTATTTTAGGTACATCACATTTCATTACCCAAATCATTACAGATAATGTTACATAATTCTGTCTTTGTGCATAAAAAAACCTGTAGTAATGTTAAGCATGACCACATAATCTCAAATACTGCTTAACATGTAGGTGAATTCAGTCTTGGCAATAAAGAAGCTATTCAAAAGAATTTTACAGCAGGAGTTTAGTAAATTATGTTAAAGCTGGATGTCCTACATTTTGGTTTCCCAAACAAAAAATCAGTTCAACAGAGAAATATTGAGACTTTTTCTCTCCCCTTGTGTTTGGTCCTCCTTTCTGTCTGACTTTTAATTACTACTCTGGACTAGCTGTAAATCCTGTGTGAAGCAAAGAGAGCTAACAAGCAGGTGGTCCAACATAATGAGCTTAATGAGCCTAAACCCATTATAAGTGAGCGAATGTCACAGGAACGTTACTATTCTTGGATCGGCAACAGGTGTTCCCATTCCCCAAACAGCCCAACGCCTGCATTGAAATGATTGTTAAGGAAAAATGTAAAAAGGAAAGTGGACAGCTTAACTGGTATAGGGTTTCTTCCTTTTGAAGTGTTTGTGTTATGGCTGGATTACTATCTGTTCAACATAAGTTGAGTGGGAGAAATGAACAGCTAAGCGAAAAAATCTAATCGATATTTAATAAAGTGGTTTACATACCTCAACACAATGTGTGTGGGTGCTGATGATAAAAATGTGTCCCCCTGATGAGGCCCAGAGTTGATCCTCCACAGCCAGCACCGCTTTAATTGGAAGGACTCCTAGCTTCAGTAACCTGGGCGTCTCACAGCACCAGGAACCATCTGAGAGAGCAAATCAGAACATTTATTCCATGTGTACAAAATATAAACCACAACACAGATAAGAACTCTTAGAAGATCTCAGACTGGACATTATAAAGTAAACATTTTGCCAAATCTTTTCTCAGTTTAAGATTTTAAGACTTCTCAGACAAAACTACTAGATTTTTCATGCAGATGTTCAAGAAGAAATTAGGTTTTAGAACTTAAGTCTTCCACACATCATAAAACCATTTAAGTCAATTATTGTAAAAACAAAACGTGTGACAATACATCAGTAAGTCATATAAAAATATAGTGTGTTGCTGTTACAGTATATTCCAACCAATCAGATTAAAGATTCTGTTTTTTTTTATTAGTAATACCTAAGCATAGGTAATATGAGACAGAAAAATAATTCATTTTGATATAATGTATTAAAATCATAATTGAGGTTTTAACATTTTATAATTTGTTTTATCTTAAATACCCTTTTTAAATAATAAGAACATTTGTATTTAGTGTATTCATTATTCAATGTAAAAGATCATATCATCCAAGTATTATCAGAATTGGTCCACTTTTGGGCATAAATAGCAGACATTTAATTTATGGACATTTCACTGCTTTCTGCTCCCTGAGCATGAGCAGCTCTGTTTTTGGTTTTCATCTGTCAAACTTATGCAAATCTTAATTTGAGTACAAAATATTACATAAACCAAAATATAATATATGCAAACATTTTTTTGTTTTTGAGAAAAGTAAGAAAAAAAAAAACACAGACTAATTCATTGTTTTGTTAACTAAAACAAATCGATTTTAAAGACCACAGATCAAGTAAAAAAAAAAAAGAAAAAAGATCCATGATGCTAGAAAGGTAAACATTTTAAATTAAAGAATTTCTACAGAGGGAATTTTTAAAATAAATGTCTATGTTCTGGTGAAGATCCTCAGTCATCCAGGTCATAGTCCTTCCAAAAAAGTTAACAAACAAAGGACCAGATTATCAGAATGTTCACATTTTGGACAAAGAAGGCAGGTGGTTTGAAAGGGGCGTGAAGGAAGCCATTAATGTTAAGAAAGAAAAACCAACCTTAAACAGAGGGGGTAGACTCAGATTTTAGCTTTCAAAAACCTACAATGCAGCGATAGAGTTGATTCCTTCCTGCTATCATCTCAACTCCCCAACCCCATGCAGGGGACCAAAACATCTCGCCAGGTCAGTCAGGCCAACAATTCCCCCTAAGGACCCCCCTTTCAGAGGCATGTTAGCCTGCATATAGTATTGCAGGCTAACAAAGAACCTCCCCTAACGACTCCCCATTCCAGCAAAGCTGACCTGTTCTTCTGGTTCAATTTGCATGTTTTCTAAGCCAAACCAAGGCTACTCTACAAAGCCTCAAACTCACCACTAATTCTGACATATTTAATTCCTGGATGAGAAGCGAAACATCTTCAAACTTGGAAACAAATTCCAGTGGATTGTTTTTTTTAAAACTTTTTTTGGAACAATTTTCATGTTATTCACAACATTTAAAGACAGTATAGGAACCTCGTCTTCAAACAGCACTCATCTATGATGCAAGTATGAAATTAATTGGTTAGGTAAGCACAGTTCAGACACAGCAGAGCAACAACCCATCCATCTTGATAAATGTCAGCTGTAGGGGTTACCTGCATTTATAACTCTTCTAATGGTTGATAAGTGGCCATTAATGGTTTTCACAGTACTTCACTATGAATATAGATGGACTGCTGAGTGTTAGTCAGAGCCAAGCTGTATCCCACATACACCTCCTACACACTCCCTTCTGCATGTGCCTGGTTACAGAGCAGGCCCGGCTGCAATAAAAACACCCCGCTGCCTGCAGGAGCTTTATAAATATCAACGATTCTGCAACTAGTGCGTGCACTTGAGAATTAAGTCATAAAACGGCAAGAAAGTAAACAAAAAGGATGCCAATCACATTCCTAAAGCTATATAGAACGAGGTGAATAAAACTTCAAGGATAATATTTGGTTTAATGAAGATACAAGAATGGTATCAACATGTGTGTTTTGTAAAGGTATGGAAATTACTAAACATATTCGGCAAGATTTGCACCACTTAAATTTTCTGTGTAAACATGATTGGAAGAACGGCACTGTTAAGGTGAATGTACAGTATGGAAAGAAATCTTGCAAAGAAAAGCGAGGCAGACAGAAGTGCCAGCTTGCAGGCTTACATAAGTCCTCTCTGCTACATCTGCCCACATCTTTTACTTACTGAACTGTTGCATTCCCTCATGTCACTGTCAGCCACACAAACAAAGAAAAAAAATCTCCAGGACTGAGTGCGAGCACACGAAAAACAACAAACATAGACTAAAAGCTAAAGCAATGAGGCTCATTATTATTATTATCCTTATTTCTGGGAAAATAAGATATTAAAGGCTGACTGGATGGAAGAAAATGAGCTCACGTTAGGAGTCTCTGAGTGTGATGTGCGAGCGATGCTGAATCATTGGCTCCCCCCTTTTCAATGTCTCAAACACACGTTCACTTTGGAAACGGCAAGCTTGGCAGAATGAGGCTGCCAGCTTCAGAAACACTGCATCAACAACAGAGTCACATTTCTCATGCAGCATCAGAAACTCTGCACTGTAGGCTGTAGACACCCAGTCTGTTCTGACGATACGTTTAAGGATTGTGCTCGATTCTCCTTAAACCTTAAATATTTACAGCATGAATCAATTTTAGCATTAAGCATCATTCTCCAGACATAGTGGGAACATTTTTAACTGGTTGAATTTAAAAATGTTCAGGACTCATCTAAAAACATTCCAGAACGGTTGCACACACTGATCATTTCTGCCAAGTGCAGCTGGACAGAAAAAAAAATAAAGACAGGAAAACTCTTCTATTGTTTTTCTATTTTTTCCAGCAAGAAAACATCCATCTTTTTTCATACATTAATCAACTCAAACCATTTTGATCATCCATCTTTAAACTTTTCTGCATTTATCAAGTTACAACCAAAGATTTTAATGCATTTGATCAGGATTTCATGAGGTAAAACATCTCCAAAAAGCCATAACTGTGAGATAAAGTTTTCAATTTTCTTCCGTTTTCAGTTAGTTTTCTTCTAACATCGGGACTGAACATAAATGTATATTTCATTTCTCCAATACTTTTTTTTCCCCCAATAAAAGATTTCAATGTCAAATTCTTTCTTTAGAAGTGAACTAAATTAGGGAGAGTCAGTTTAATCACAGTGCAGATTGATCTGTTCTGTGAAGCTTCAGAGGCTTGAACATTAGTTAACAGCAGCATGAAGACAAAGGAACAAAGCAAATTGAACATAAATTTAGAAGTAAAGCAGCTTAAAGATGGGTAAGGTTAGAAATTACCTCCTGACTTTAAAACATCTTACAGAGCACAGCTCAGTACATATATGATAGAAGCCCTCTACATTCAGAGGAGACGAGAGGCCAGCATTAATGACAGAAACAGTCCAGACTCTGGAGGAGCTGCAGAGATCTGCAGAGAACCTGCTGACAGAAAAACCTTTAGCTGAGCGCTCTATGAATATGGCCCTTATTGAAGAGGGGATAGCAGAACATCAGTGTTGAAAGACAGCTAGAAGGACTTCAGTTTAAAGCTAATTGATAGCCCAAAGGTAGGTGGTAAGTGTCTAACCTGCAGGAGAAACACAGGCATAAAAAATAATACAGCAAGTGAGTCTGGGAACGTTTGACTGTGAGATATAGTGGTGGCAGGATGGTGCTGTGGGAAAGCAGACAGGGAAGCTTGTCAAAGCTGATAAGATAATGGATAAAGGGCAGTCCGAAAAACCTAAGCAGGTAAAGATTTTAAACTGAGGTGAATTTTCATCCTCTGGGAATTAAAGGGATAGTTCGGTATTTTTGACATGAATCTGTATGGCATCCCCATCACCAGTGGCATGCAATCACAATGACTTACCCCTGGCAGCGTCCTGTGAGCAGAGTTATCGTCCAGTTTTGGTCAAGCCGAAAGTAGTCCGGCAGGTTTTTAGGAACAGCGAAATAAAACGTTTCTCTTCCCAAAACATTATGTGTCAAAAGAGCGATATTTTTGCATCCCAAAAACTGTCTGAATGACGGCGCGCACTGATACGAACAGAGAGAAAATAGGACCAAGTGATAACGACGTGTGACTTTTTCCACTACAATGTTTTTGGGATGCAAAAATATCGCTCTTTTGAACACATAATGTTTTGGGAAGAGAAAAGTTTTATTTCGCTGTTCCTAAAAACCTGCCGGACTACTTTCGGCTTGACCAAAACTGGACGATAACTCTGCTCACAGGACGCTGCCAGGGGTAAGTCAGTGTGATTGCATGCCACTGGTGATGGGGATGCCATACAGATTCATGTCAAAAATACCGAACTATCCCTGTAATGACAAGATTAGAAAAGCGATAATGAAAGATTATGGACATCCAATTTGTCTCATTTGAAGCCTTTTCCCTTTTATTTTTAGGGGAAAAAATAAATAAATAAATTAAAGAAGAAAATGAAAGGAGAGAGCTGATAAAAGTCTTATCTCTAACAAGGAATGTTTGTCAGACCTGTTAAATTTTGATTCTAATAATCTTCCACTTTAAATGTATACATTGTATTGTGTTACCTTGTTGACTTTGTAAAATATTGAAATGTTGAAAAACCCAAATATGCATAAATCTTTGCTAGGTATTATAATAAGAAAGAGCTAAATCAATAGAAACTTACAATAGATAAATTAATGATTGCAGTGAAACTCAAGACCTACTTAAAAAAACAAAAATGGCTGACAAACTGGTTTTTGCACCATTGTAACAGCTGATGGTAGCAGGAAGAAAACATAGAATGTGAATCCTTGCAAAAAAAAACAATCCACTGGACTATTTCCAAGTGTGAAGACATTTTGCTTCCCATCCAGGAAGCTTTGGAATGACTATGACCTGGATGACTGAGAATCTTTCCCAGCACATAGAATTTAAATAAAGTGTGGGAAGAGTTTGGCCCAGTCTGAGGCGATGTGCTCAGAAGCAAAGGAGGAAGACATTAAATAGGTCAGAGTTAATATAGCGGCTTCACCCAGACAACAAAGCACATGGAAACAGAGCTTAAACACAGCAGAGGAGACCCCTGACCCCAAGCTACACCCAGAGCCGCTGACCTAAACACCAGCAGCCGCACCTCAGAATCTGGATGCTACAAATGTGTCGTTAAGGCAGCCAACTTCAAAAAAAAAATATATATAACCAGATATAAAGCAGAGGAAAATGTGTCAAGGGTTTTTTTTTTTGTTTTTTTTTTACTGGCTTTCAACTTGATTTTACACACTCTTTTGGCTGCAGATTTGAAGGAACAGAAAGATGTTTATTTAAAGAACACACCTTGTGATTTGGAGTAAATGGCGACAGAGCCATTAACCAGACCGGCGTACAGACAGGGCTTTTTATAGACCAGGCTGGTGACCGTGGACTTGTCTGGGGTGAAGAAATGCTGAAGACGTATTTTCTTGGACCGCTGACTGCTCTTATAAACAATGATGCTAAATAGGATGGATGGAAAAGAAAACAAAGCAAAGCAACTTCAATATGCATATTTTTATAATAAGAAAATAATAGTCATTTTAGGTATATTTAATTATTTAGGAGAATTCTTAGTGAATTTCTCCATTCATACCTGCCCTCCTCCATGCCTAAACAGACGGTGGGGGTATCACTGGCCTTTGCAGCAGAAACACCATTATTCTGAGGAAGCTTTTCACCGTCCTCCTTAGGTTGCTCTCCTGGGACGAAGGCCATGCAGAGGATCCGAGATTCCACATTGAAGCATTCTGTCACTTTAGGGCTGGAGTTTTGCATGGCCACAATTGCGATTTGACCCATCTGGTTAGTGCAACTTGCAACCTAAACCAAGTTAAAGAAAGCAAATAAATCATTTGAAAAGCGTTCACTCATACTACATGATCCTGTTAGTTAAATTTCTGTTATTAGTTAAATGGTTGCCAACTTTTTCTAAAGGTATTTGGGAAACGGTCTTACCCAGACACATCCGTGGCCGACAACAGGAGAGTCGGCTGTGCTTTCTGTGTTTATGAAGGGCTCTGGGTTGTGAACAGCACATTCCACCTGACAGAGAACAAATAAAAACAGTGATAAATCCGTGAAAAGGTCACATATGTTTGGTGTTTCAAAATAATTGTAAAAAAAAACCTGACCATGTTAATTTTTGTTTGTCAGCATTTGTTTAACCATCTCTACCAGGTAAATGCTTGGATCACCCGATATATATACATATATATATATACCAAACATGTATTGAAAATTTATTATAGATTATGTATTATTTTTCATTTAATGGTTCAGAGGAAGCCCACAGTCATTTTCCCTTTTAAGATATATTAGTTTTTTGTTGTTTTTTTTAGGTTTTTACGGCACTAGTGGCTCGTTTTTTTCGACAGTGGGCTGACAGGAGGGGGAGAGATATTTGGCCACAGGTTGGGTTTGGACCCGGGTCAATCAAGCCCAGAACATTCTATATTTTTTCAGTTTTTCTAAGATCTTAATATTTTCAATTGTGAAAATATTGTGTGGCTCCGTGTGGAAACTTAAGCCACTGTCACTGATGTGCCTGGACTTAAAGAGAATCACGGTGCTATGAGATGTCTCTGAAAAAAAAATCACTTAGATCTGATTATACTTTGTGTTTTAAAGCTCTCTGTCCTAAATCCCCGTTAGTTCCAAAACCAACATGGATTCAGGCAATCTGGTCTTTTTTTGGGAATCACAAGAAATTTATAATAAACACATTTCCAGAAAAAGTAGCGGGATGTTTTTCTTTTGAGCAATTTTTTTTACACTCTAAGGGCCGGATTTATCAAGATCCAATTTTGCGTGCAGTAATTTGCGCTCGCAAACTGGAATTTTGCGCGAGGGGCTGAACCATGGTTTGCGGGTGATTTAACAAGAGTATTTGCGTAACTGGTGGCAGGTGCAAAACTGTTGGAGACGCCCTATTTAAATGATGGTTTTGCGCGTTTTGTGGTTTGCGGCAAAGTAGTTTGTAGTCTGTACAAACAAGTGCATTAGGAAATTTAAATCTTACAGTGACCCCCAACAAAAAAAATAAATAAGTAAATATATATATATATATATATATATATATATATATATATATATATATATATATATATATATAAAAATTGGCAGCCTTTATTCCCTAAGGTGGTATGTGCTGCAGTAAAAAAAAAAAAAACAAAAAAAAAAAACAGGTGTTTTGTATTGGCCTGAGACTGTGGATGAGATCCCCGCAGCATTTGGCACGTTGCTCCACAGGCGCAGGGGGAGAACCCCGACCCCGTCGGACAGCACTTCTGAAAAACTAGATTGGGAGATCCCAGCTCTCGCTGCAACCGTACGCTGGAATGACCCAGATGCAAAAAAAGTGCAATGTTGCAAGGAGTTTTGTGATATCTGGTATTGCGTGGGTCCTCCTTGTGGCTGGCTCCAAATCCATTCGGAGTTCCCCCAACAGCTCCAAAATGGCAATGCTGGATAAACGATATGTTTTGATGATCGTTTCCTCGTTCATTGCAAAAATATTCACACGGAGTGAAAAAATGCGTTCTCTGCGTCTCCTTGCTTCATTTCGATGTCTCCTTCTTGCGACAATAACCGATGCCATGTGTGCGCAATTACGCATACAGACCATTTGCACCAGATACCGTTAGCAAAATTGCGTTCAGGTTTGATAAATCACTTTGCGAGTGCTAAATTAATATATTTACATGTTCTCCTCCCACAAGACGCACTTTAGCGTGTAAACGCCCCATATTGCATATTCATTGCAGAAAAAGTACTAAATGGATAAGAGGCGCTATTTAGCACGTTTTAAAGACCAAATCCTTTTAGCACGCTGTTGATAGATCAGTTTGTACATTTTTTAGCGTGCGCAGTGAAATAGCTCACGTTTTAATACACGCAAACCTTTGATAGATCCGGCCCTAAATGTTTTGGCTTTTATAAAAAAAAATATATATATTATATATATATATATATATATATATATATGCAAATTAATCAAATGTTGAATAAAAAAAAAAAACCTGGGCTTACCTAACATTAATCATTTCTATGTAATGCTTGCGCATCTCTACTGTTGATAAGTCAATCACTGCTGGACCTCTAAATTTACTTGAAAAAGACAAAAAAAAAAAGATCATGAACGCCTTAAAAGAGAAAAGGCTGCGGGGTTAGAAACCCACCTTGAACTCTTGTAGTTTTGACATTACCACAGGCATCTGTCGAAGTAAGAGGGGGTGTTTCTGTTTCTTGATTTGATTACCGTCATCATCTGCAAGGAACCAGCCCTGCAGGTTGTCCTCCTCTGATTTAAAACACAAATAACACACACAGGTTATGCAGAGAACAAAGCCATCTGTTTTCCATTAGAACGCTCCAGAGATCACTTCGTAAAATGTTGTCATCTCAGGAATTCAAACTATTAACAAAAACAGTGATAAAACCTTCAGGTTGTCGTTGGATCTCAGTAATGTCAAAAGGTCCCATTTACACTAAAGTTCTTAAGACAAAAATAAAGGGAAAAAGGTGCAACGGACAATATAAGCACACTAAAGTACCTAGAGCCAACTTTGCCATCTGTAGGTTACTGATCCATGACTGCTTGATGGCTGGGCTGAGTGTATTAAACACTGCACTGAAGTATGTGAGCTTACCGGCCCTGCTGGAAAAGGAGAGGGAAAAAACAAACACACAATAAGAAAAATAGGATCTTAGCTTAAATGTGACAACAGGGGAAAATTATACAAATAAAACTTACAGTAAAGGTATAGTGGAGGATGTTAATTCTCCCGGTGGATCATCAAAATAATTGTTCCGCCTAATTGTCAATTCTGGTGATATGTTTACGTAAGGCCATCCTATGTGCTCGTCCCCATTTTCACATACCAGTCAGACATACTGGACAAATTGCATATCTCCTTTTTGAAGTAAGCTTGTATGAGAGATGCAAACAGCAACTTTCAAACAGAGCGTGCACAAGGAGAAATGGGCTCATTCATGCTCTCGCACGTGTTTAACAGGCGTTCCCTCTGTGGAGCGGGTACAGGGTTGTGCAAGGTGGAGAGGGCGGTTATTTTCAAATATTCGCGAAAATCCTCCATTATACCTTTAAAACAGCAATTTAGTGGTTAATATATTTCTCATTATCACCTGGAAACACATCCAGAGAGTATCCATTTACACTGCCTCTTACCTGATTTTCAATCTTAACACAGATCAAAAAGATCCTTCCTAATTGATTCTGTTCTTATTCATATCCATGCATCTCCTATTTAAGTTACCCACAGTGGCTTGCAAAAGGTTTTGTCCCCTCTTTTTGTCCTCTCTTCACATTATGTCATATCATCACCAAATGATTCAGTGCATTTATTTGGATTTTCATAAAGACCAACAGAGTAGGTATAAGACCTTTGCCTGTTTCTCTTTGTAAACACAGATTAAATTTTACTTATTTTTCAAAACTTCCATCAGATAATTGGAATTGGAAAATTGGATTCAGTTCTAGACTTTGATTGGACCTTTCTAACACATACATATGCTATAATCTACACCATTCCCCAGTGGCTTTGGCTTTACTGGCTCATTGAGGTAAACTGTTGCCTCAGAGTTTGGTCTCCTGCAGGGTCTGACAAGCTTCCTTCCAGGGCCTCCCTCCATTCATCTCCATCCATCCTCCAATTACATCTGGAAAACTTTCCTTATTCCTGCTGCAGGAAAGCATCACTTTAGCTTGATGCTGAAACCATGTTTTACGATGAAGATGATGCACAGAGTTCGTTTTCAACTACACAGCATTTTGCATATAGGGTTGTAATCATTGTTCTATTTGATTAACAGAAAAGTCTGATCATATTCAGAATTCAAACTTTTTTACTCTGGCCAGAAGTTTAATGGCAAATCCTCCCTGTTATTACTTTTTTACTGATTAACGCCAAATTCATTAAATCACCGTAAACGTATTAGTTTTAGGTATAGATAATGATACATTTGTTTTCCATACTGACCAGACCTTTCCTTTAAAGCCTTATCTTCCCGATGCTTGCTGTGTCCCCCAATTAAGCTTTTAGTCTGTCTAAAGTTAGTTTTCCTCATCATGTTTCAATAAAGGCCAGATCTGTGCTTTTAACGCAACAACGTGTAAGCAATTCTTTGCAAGGCACTGCAAACTGATAACCTGCAGTTCATAAAAAGAGAAAGTAACAGAAGTGAAATGGAATTATCACTTCTATAAACAGCTTGTATAGACTCTGTGTAGCCATGTGTGACTATCTGTGCCACTGAAATGCATCCCTGCTCTCCAGAGCTGGAGCTGAGAAATGCATTCTGCAATGAAGGGACCAGGAAAGGAATGAGAGGAGTGCAGCTGTGTTTCCAAACATACCCTTGGTTAATTCCAGCAGATAAATGCAACTGTGAGTAATGCCAGAATTGGGAAGAGAAATATAGAGCAGGAGACTAAAGACAGTCATGGTTGAAAAGAATGTCAAAGAGCCAAAACAAGAGTCACCCTAGGGGGTCCATGTTTAGTGCATAATAGTGAGGGTTAATGTGAAGCATGATTACTGTATGTGTATAGAGCAGCAGCTGGGTGGACTGGTTGCAAACACCAAAGCGTATTTTCTCCCATGTGATTCATGCCACAGATTAGAGCTGGTGGAAAAACTTGTTTATCCACATTTGGTCTAATTCTCTCATAAAGCCCAATGCATGAAAGGGGGTGGTTAGGATGCAGGGGAAAAAGCAGGGTAAAAGGGGATAAAGTCAACACTGGGATAAACAAAACATTAGTGGGCGTTAAACCCTGATGAGGGACTAGATGAGAGTTAATTTAAGGTGAAACCACCAAACAACAAGGTATGTGCATTTATTAGGATAGAAAACAGACTTGTCATGTTTGCCAGGCAGCTGGAGTTGAATCCTGCACCGGTCAGCTGCCCTGATCTCCTCTTCCTTCTTCAATATTAGCCTCTGGAGGCCTGAAACCCAGTCCTGTGCCACAGTGGAATTTACATTCTGCACAAGAGAATAATGGAGAAAGAAAGAAAAAACAAAACGAGAATATACTGAAAAGAGATTCATTTGGAGAACATGAAGGAATGGGGAAAACAACCAGAGAGGAAATGGATAAATGTTTTAAAAGTATTACAATAATTGATATTCTAGTAAAATCTGAAGAGCCTTTTACATGTTAATATTCACATTAAAAAGGACTAGGGGTAATTTGCCCCCAAAAATTAATTTCCAATGACTTGTTAACATTACAGCATGGCCCCTGAAACGTCTCTCACTGCACATTTATAACTCCAATACAGTCTACATAAATTTGGACGTGGAGCTTAAAGCAGGGATTATCCAAACAGTTCTTTGTCTTGTTTTTTTTTTTTTTTTGTCCTTTCTTTACCCTTTTCCTCAGCATTGGCCTCCATCCCTCCCTCTCTATGAATCATCTCTGAATATGACTGATCTAGTTTTACAGCACAAACATAGAGCAACAGACTCATGCTGCGCTCTACAGACTAAAGCACCATTTAATTCCCACCTGTAGTCTTGGCTGATCAGTTTCAATCAGCCCATGAAACAGCTTGTCTGCAATCAGAAGTGTCTCATAAAAGTACACACTACAGTTTACTGGTATTCCTAGTTTTTTTTTAAGGAACATGTGAAATTGTTTCAATAGTTTAATATGGACACACAAAAAAATCTGCCTTGGCCTAAAAATGTCAGGATTATCATCATTGAAACCTTTTAAACAATCAGTTAAAGAAGAAGTCTGTTCATATTCACAATTCAAACCTCTGAAAGTACTTTAAATATTAAATTATTACATACTGTTCAATAAATAAGTGTTTTTAATTAAGAGTAATTTTCATTTGAATGTGCTTTACTGGAGGCATCCATGTTTATCAAAGAACACTACTGCCACCTACAGGTTTGTGACGTCACGTTGCAGTATCGGCTGTTGATCAAGTCCCAGCGCTGTATCTGGTGTTTGTCACAATGGAAAATACACTCTTTTACATCAATACAGCTCTAACTCGCCATCTGAAAAGCTTTAAAGTCAATTCAATGCAATAATACTCTACAGACATGTTTTTAGGACAGTGTTTGTCTGTTTTCAGTCATTAGCTAATGAAGTTTTTGAATATATAAAAACTAGATGACAGAACTGTGGGGAGATGATATTAGATTTTAGTTTTCTAAGAAGGCTGCACTAGTTATTCAAAGCTTACTCTATTGTATTGATGGAATGAAATGATTTTCCCTAAAGGTTGAAAGAGAAAATTAACGTGCTTTCTTCTATAATATCATAATTTTGTTCATTATTGTTGCAGAGAACCTCAGTTCAGTCAAAGGTGATGAGCTCTAACAGTTGAAAACTGGGCTTAAACTAAAACTCAGCTCTGCTTTGTGTCTGAATCATATACTAAGGTAACTCCCTCTAGTGTGATGTTGATTCTGTGCAAGTTAAATGCAGGTATACAGTACCTGGTAGTTCCCTTTGAGGCTACCGATCATGCCAGCAATCTGATTGACCAAACTCAGATCGTGGATCAGGTTTTGCAGATCTTGGTACAGCTGACCAGGGCCCATGTAAAGTTTGTCTACCAAAGGAAAAAAAAACAGTCAAGAAACAAGTAATTAATTTAAATAATACAAATATTATGAACACTGATCCCAACTGATCCCTTATGATGGTTTCAAAGAATAGAATAGAAGAATCTTTGTTCAAAAAGTGTAAACAATGTACTTTGGTGCAGGTCTCAGTTTTCAATGGTCCCCTTAGTGATGACTGGATTCTTAGGCAACAAAGAAAATGACGGGAGCAGAAGTTGGAATCTAGACAATGATTAATAAAGTTCAAATACTTAGTTTCCCACAGGCTGCAGTGACAGCTTGACAAACTGGCCCTGATTTTCATCACGTCAGTGTTTGTTCACTAGACACAAGAACTCCACCACTGGCTTTCACAGTCCAGATTGTCGGTTTAAACCATACTTGATTTCAGTCAGGGTTTTTTTTTTTTTTTTACCCAAGTTTATCAGAATAAGTAATTTGCAATTTTTGAACTGCTGTGCCAAACACTTAGAAGGTGTTTTGAACAAGTCAGAAAATGTCAGATTATGGATCTGATGTTATATTTGCCATATAACTTCCAATTCAAAGCTTTGTTTAAAAACATTATCAGTTACCAAATGGCTGAGAATGGATGAATGAGCAAAAACTACTCAAACCCTTCAATATTTAATGATCAAATCCTCTCCATGTTAATGTACCATTAACTCTCACCCTCTGTTTGCTTGAAATGCACGGTAACCAAGTCCAAACCCAGTCTAGTAAGGTATGCAACAATAAGCTTAGTTAAACATTTGAACTGTTTATATTGTTTTGCAAGTTCAAGTTAAAGATCAGGTTAAAAGGTTAGATTTAATTTGAACTGACAGTCAGACATCTTAGATATCAATTATTTATTGAATGGCAACGTCATCCATGATTTATTCCTGATGAAGCTCTGTTGCAGTAAAAAGTAATTCTTTCTTTTACAAGATGAAAGGAAAAGCAAGTTAGTTACAAGCAGCATAAAAATGTAAATTATGAAAAATAGAATAAGAAAAGTGAAAACATTGTTGTAGAAATTGATGATAAAATGATTAATAAGAAAATGAAATGAAAGTTGGACTGCAAACTTAACTGCAATACTTCTACAGGACAATCAAAGACTTTATCTTGATTTAAAGTAACTTTCAGCTATTTTAGATTATTCTGGGAGGTTGTTCCAGATTAGTGGGGCAAGAACTAAAAGTTGCATGTTTGATTCTGAATGAGCAAGTAGGTCTGGGCGGTAGAAACACAGATAGAAAGTCTACGTATTTGGTGCCAAGCTATTCAGTGAATTACTGACAAATAGAAGTCCATTAAATCTACTCTGAGTTACAGGGAGTTAGTTCAGGACTAGTGTGATTTGCCCTTATACCTTAGTTCAATCTCAAAAACTCACATGGAGAGAAAAGACAATTAGAAGAATTTTATTGATACAATTACTTTAGTCTTTGGCGCTTAGACCTCGGCAAGAAACATTAGTGCTGAATTTTGCTTTGATATGTATGAACAGGAGTAAAGAACAGGGGTGTTTCGCCCCAGGCCTGAAACTAGTGGAGTGGAGATAGATGAAGTTGGTCAGTCCATGACTGGTTGGCCAAACGGTGTGCTTGAGCTGTATGTAGAGAGCCAGTGGACTGCATGAGCTGATACTATCGATCACTCAGGGACCTGGAAGATGGAAGTCCAGCTTGGATAAACACAGGTTGCATGAACCTGTCAATAACGAGCAAGCATGAAGCGACAGTGGAGAGGAAAAACTCCTCATTGGGAAGAAACCTCTAGCAGAACCAAGCTTAAAATCGCGGTCTTCTGCCTGACCGGTTGAGATGAGACAGGGAACGCAGTAAGAGTCTGGGAGGAATGACACTCTGATGAAGCTTTAGCTACGATGGAGGAGGAGGGGCTGGAGGTGGGTTAAATCGTTGTCATCTGAATCGAAGACAGACATAGCGCAACCACTGCCTGCGCTTTGGGTAGCAGACTGAGAGGTGGATTTGGAGACCTTTAAAGATCATGATTGGGCTTTCGTGGAGGTGGTTTTCCAAGCTGACTGGCCTGTGTCGGAAGAGGGTAAGCAATCAGTTTATTCAGTTGAACTTGCACCTAGGCTCCATTTTTGGTAAGGACAGGCAGCAGCATGCTGGATCAACTGCAGCTGATACCAATTATTGTTACCAGAAATCAGATATCAACAAAGAACCCAAATATATCACTACAATTCAACAGTGAAAGTTTTTACAGGGTTTCCCTTATCCCCCCTATATTACTAGCCTGGTGACCAACAGGCTTTACTTGCCCCTCAGCAAGGCCAATTGATGTTTGTTTCTACAATATTTTAAATATATTTTTATACACTAGTAATAGTAAAAGAAAAGGAGACAGACTTAAAAGCCCAATGGTGACACATTTAAATGACATCTTACAATAACAAATAATAAAAAAATGTATATATTTTAAAATCTCCTGCCTGATTTTACATATACATAAAATGTTTTAACTGAAACATGGTGGTGTGCCAGTGGAATACACCAGCAATACCTAAATACCTGGTTTTACTCAATCATTTGCTATTGGAAGCCTAATTATTTATAAAAGATAAAGAGACCTAGTGATGAAAATAACCTTTAAGTCCATGAAGAGATTATTCCCAGAGGCTAGACTGGCTGTGACCCATATTAACCAGAAACTAGATTTCTGAATGGCTCTTTGTGCAAGCACTGAAAGCCAAAGTCTGCTATAATAACAGCACTAAAAGCATGTTTATACTGAGGTCAGTCAGCAATTAGGTAAAAAACTGATCAATAAATCACATACTACATGTGAGAGCAGCAAGAAATGGTGACTCTAATTGACCTGTTTAAGATGACACCTGCAGAGAGGTGAGCTAAGCAGAAAGACACACAAAGAGATGATATCACATGCTGAAGAATATGTTCACAATGCTGATCCCACAAAATACAAGGTACTATTGTTTCCATTGTGAAACGTTTCTGGACAAAGCAGACATTTAGCTCACACACACACCTACACAAAGGCACACTGTAAAGACGGTTTGGAAACAAGCTAAATGGTGTGCTGTGCAGCGTCCCAAATGTGTTCACATTTTGTCACGAAACATGAGGCAAACAGGAGCCTCAATGTGCTTTCAGGATTTTATGGCATGGAACCAAAACAAAGCGTTGCATAATTGTGTGAAAGGAAAATAATGTTTTAGAGAGTTTTCATATAACCCTGCAGTGGGTGGCATGTCTTTCTCTTCATTTGGAATTACACTATTTTCACCTCCCTTTTGCTACAGGTACTTCTGTAATTACATACATCAGTATCTCTCCAGCACACCAGTCATTTACACCATCAACGCTCGGAAATTTGGTGAACAACAGTTTCCTGAAGAGGTTTAAAATTTCTGTGATAACTCCTTCTATTGTCTAATGATGGATTAAGCTTTGCTCTTTTATATTTAACTTCTCTGCTGTGCTTGAAAGGCAAGGATGTGATGATAGAAAAGGGGAGGTCATTATGCAAAACGTTTCTAACGTGACAGAAAAAGACATGCTGGCAATAGTCACAGTAAATAGAAAAGGCTTTTATCAGCTAATCACTTCATAGAGCCGAGTTTTGAACATTCCTCTGAGAGCAACCAGAACCCCTGTTTAGAGACACTGCTAACACCACAAAGCATTTCCATTCTCTGAGTTTTGGATTAAATTAAAAACAGAGAGCTTTATCACAGTTGGTATTCACTGCACTGAAAAGGCCACTGAAGTGGAAACATTTTAACAGCATGTCAGAGCTACATATCCTACCTTTTATGATAGTTCATCCATCTTTTTTATTATTTTATAACCTAATACTTTCATTTTTGTCATATTTTATAAGTTTTAAAGGGGCCATAGAATGCATAACCAAGTTTACATTGTGGGTGAAATGGACGTACAGAGAAGTTTAAACCCCATCGACACCTCCTTTCTCTGCAAATCTCACAATGGGCTCTATGCACAGCTCCACTACTTCCTGAATTTAAGGCAGCTCCTTTGTTTCCTGTCTTTCATTACTGGACGAACTGATTAATCCAGGTGTGTCTGGCCAGTTACTTAGGTCATACACACCTGGATTAATCAGTGCATCCAATCATGAAAGACAGGAAACAAAGGAGCTGCCTTAAATTCAGGAAGTAGTGGAGCTGTGCATAGAGCCTATTCTAAACTTCCACCATGAAACGGGTGAATCCAAACGACGTTGCCTTATTTGGTTCTGGCCTGTACTTTTGTCACGCCCCGAAATTTACATATAGACCATCCCACTGGTTCACTGACCTAAGAACATGAATAGAGGTAGATGTCAGACACCAGTTTAGCTGTTTAGCCTAGTTGGGTTTACTGCTCCAGAATTACATCTGGACCGGACCGAGCATTTCCGTATGGCAGGCGGGGGGAAGCACGGGGCCGCCGTTGTCACTGGGTCGGGTTCGGTTGCCCTGTAACCCGCTGGCTCCCGCCGGAGTTCCCGGACCAGCTGGAGCTGATGGCTCCGTTCTGCTGCACTGTAGTCGACCAAAATCCCAGACAAATTTTAAATTCCCCCAGGACAATTTTTTAGGTATGAAAAGTAGGACATGTCCGGGAAAAAGAGGAAATCTAGTCACCCTACCATATCAACAATTTGATGTTTCAGTGAGTGCTTGTTGCTATGATGCGCCTTTGCTCACCAGCTTCGCTCGTTATAAACCCACCAATCAGCACACAGCTCATCTAAATATTCATGAGCATACAATAAAAGGAAGAAAACATGTTGTTTCATTCTAGGGCTTTTAACCAGGCTTGCATTAGGGCGCACAGAACAGCAAATATGCCATTTTCAGCCCAACCAATGTCACACACCCTATTCAGAGACCTTAAGGACCAGCACCAAATACCCTATACTGTAGAATTATTCTATGACACCTTTAAAATGTCTCAGATTAGTTTATGTTTAATCAGTCACTGTTTCCTACAGCTAGCACAATGAACTGTTGAAATATAATGATGTACTTCAAATAATGTAAAAACTCAATTAGTCTGTCATGTTAAAGGATTCATGTTGAGGATTTTTCCAAATTTGTGAAAAGACCCACTCACTAAGTGTTCACTTAAAAAAGAAAAATGCACATACACAACCCTGTACCCGCTCCTGAGAGGGAATGCCTATCAAAAGTGTGCGAGGGCGTGCACGAGTCCATTTCTCCTCGTGTACGCTCTGCTTAAAGCTGTGAGCTGTTTGCATCGCACACACAAGCTTGCTATCCAAAAGAAGATTTGCAATTTTTCGACTATCTCAGACTCACCACCAGTAAGTGGGATGGTATAACGTAAACATATTCCAAAAAATATAAAAAAAACAATTCAATGGACTTTGTTTTCAAGTTTGAAGACATTTTGCTTCCCATCTAGGAATCTTTTTTAAATCCAAAATGTCAGAAATAGCGTTGAGTTTGAGGCTTTATACAGTAGCCCAACAAAGCCTTGTTGTTGTTTAGAAAACATGCAAATCGAAATGGACCAAAAAGTCCATCCCTTTGGAATGGGGGTAGTTGGGCTTCTTTTGTTAGCCTGCAAAGTGCCATACCCATCTGTGTCTCTGAAAAGGGGGGTCGTTAAAGGGAATTTTAGGCCTGGCTGAATAGACGAGTTCTATTTCCCCCTGCAAAGGGGTTGGGGTTGTGATGATAGCGGGAAGGGATCAACTCAGCTACGTAAACATATCACCAGAATGATTGACAATTAGGAGGACCAGTTATTTTGGTGATCCACCTGGAAAGGAACATCGTCCATTATACCTTTAAGAAAATATTCTCTTGATAAAAGAGAAAACTTCCTTGGTTAATAAGATTCATTAATTATTCAACAACTTGCATCCTCGGCTTAAAGATGTTCTGTTTAGGGTTATTCATGTAAAATTGAAATTAATCCAAATGTCTTGCACACCCTTAAAAACCCAGCATCTCCTTTTTCACTCCATAGTTCTGTGATGGTCTTTAGCTCTACTCCCAAAAAAGATGTGAAGTTCAGATCTTTATTTCTGTGTGACGTCTGTAAACATACACTTATATGAAGCTGAACTGTTGATTTAACATACATGGCATTGGAATTTGTAGGGAGTTCTAAGAAATTAAAAGCTCATCTTTGACTAAACCTGAACTATTATAAGTAGTTATTATAGATGCATTTCCTACTGTATGCACACCAACACTTTTTTTTCTTTTAACTGTACATAAATATGACATGTCAGAAAAAGACTCAAGGTAACTGTATAAGAGAAATGTTTAAAAGCTGGAATGTGGGTGCACTGAAAATGAGCAGCGTATAATTTAAAAGGTAGTAATTCCAGTCTGGTACCACGGTAAAAGTGTGGCCATTTAATGTCTGCTTGACGGGTCGGGCATAACTCTTTATCAAAGCGTTTAACAACGCAGAAATACACCAAAGTATATCAAAAACAAAAACTACAGTACTGCAACCACAAAATCATACACTCTGTACGCTTGTTTGCCTGAACTGGGTCTTTAAAGTGGCTGAGCAGCCGTTTGTCACATTGAGAAGTTAGTGGAAAGACTGAAATCATTGGACTCAGTAGGCAGCAGACCACTGGGCTGCATGAGAGGAAAGAAAAAAAGGACTGTGTCTGAATTTAGCAAGGCCTAAACAAAAAAAAGAAAAGAAAAAACTTTGTGACACGTGTGGCCTTCATTCACAGCCAGCTGACAGGAAATGGGCAAAGAGGGAAAAAGGCTGGATATGCGGCAAAGGTCACGAGATTGGGACTCAAACCACGGACATCTGCACCAGAGCAAACAGCCTAAGCATTAAGGTTGCCTCCTCTGTCACAGCAGCGTGTCCCAAACATGCAATCTTTACTGTTTATAAGCAGGTATACTTCTGCAACCTTCAACTGTCAAACAAAAGCTGTTGTTTAGTCATCATCATCGACCATTTTAAGATTCTCACTGCATAATAACCTGGGAAATAAATTCATAGTATTTCAACATTCATTTTAAAATATAAAGATAAAATTGAATCTGATTGCTTTGGTTAAAAACATTTATGTTAATATCTATACTGTTTAAAGTAAATACTTGTTTTCTTGGTCATAATGCACCAAAAGAGGAAAAAAAAAGACACAATAAAAGTCCTTTTTAGTTATGCTACTTCCACAACAAACGGGATTTGAGCAGCAAAGATGCGCATCCAGTAAATTGGTATCAGTGTCAGTTTTTTAAGTGAGAAAATCCACCTTAGAACATTCTCTGTGCAGTCAGCTTATCAAGATTACGATCCTGTTTAAAAATATTATTTCGCTGTCGGAGATGCACGCACCCTTACATACTGGCGGTGTACTGTCACTGGGAATCCAGCAACAGCTGCCTCGGGCCTGGTCGGCTCTGGGGGCTTTTCCGATACCGTTCATAGCGGCTGGATGTTGATGTTTCTTGTGCACAAACTGCAGGCACCAGAATAATAAAAGTGAAAATATTTTGTCAGCAGGTTTTGACATTTTAAGTAAATTTAGGCATTAAAGTCAAAGGGAAGTCATATTTTAATTTCAATAATTCTGACTTAAACGTGTACATAAATGTACTCTTTATCAGACCATGTTTTCACAAAAGTTACAACATTTCTATATAAAAAAAAAATCCTGTCTTAAAATCTGTTTTTTTTATTTTATGCAGGGCAGTTAGTTATACGTCAGCCTGAACACCTAAATTCGGTGAATCATATATTAACCGTCATCTGTTAATAAATTTTTTTCGGTCATAGCATCTCGATTCATATGTCGCAACTAATATACACGACGGTTGAAATAAGGATAATTTCCTTTAGCACTGAGTTCCATCCCAGTGTTCACTGAGATGGACGTCTGTGTCTTCTGTAGCCGTAGAGCTAACAGAACTGGCAGCATTGAGAGGCAAGGGCTCAAACATGTACGGCTGTAAGCCTTCTACACCAAACCAAGCTTCTGCCGCCCTGGGGTCCTCTTCCACAATATCTTCGTCCCTGCTTTCCTCCTCTAAATAAAAAATGTATGATGGTGGAGACTCATCCACGACCTCCGACACTAAACTCTCCTCCTCTTGCATGTTTCCGCTGTCCATAGCGTTCGTTGACAGTGTCGTTGCTAAGTGCTACTTGGTTCCAATGTAATTTCCCATTGGAAACCTACTAGCACTAATTTGCTAACTGTTTAGCAAGATGCTTCCGACAAACCGGCCACAACCAAACTTGCTTGTGAATCAGACGACTTTAATAAACTGTTTCAGAGAAGTGATCATAGCGATCAGCATCAGCAGTGCTGTGTCTGTCTCTCTGCCAGCTTCCAGTTCAGCTTCTCTGATTGGTTGTTTCAGCGCTGCAAGCAGAAAAAGTTCAATTTTTCCAATTCCAACATCTGCTGCTGTCAGATGCGTCATGCTCACGAGGCGCTGCTTGGCCTGCTCAGACGCATCAAGATGCGCTGCTACTGCTGCTGGAGAAGGAATGCGTGACCTTTTGATGCGCCTTGATGTGCATCAACCATAGTCTCTGCCTGTAAACCGGCTGTTTCTGCTGCTATAATTGCATTTCGTGTGAACGTAGCATCACTTACCAAATGGAACATCAAGTTAATTTTTGAGCAACAAGATTATATTAGTTTACTAATTATTTGAGCTTGATAGCTATATACATGTAGCTTGAAAACTGTGAATCATCATAGCTTAAAGAGATTGATGTTGACCTTTTAATTTACCAAAAAACACTCTTGGCATTTCTGTGATTGTAAATGTTTTTTAAAAAGCCTAATCTGTCTTGTCAGCCAAGAAAAAGTGTAGAATGCTTCTTTCAGTAAGCTAAGCAGCAGTGTGCAGGAGCAGATGAGCCAACACCACACAGTCAGAGAAAGCTCTGATTACTTCTGCACTTTCTGTGGGATGTTATCTAACTGATTTTTTTAATTAGGTCACTTATTTTTTTTATCTTTGCATGTAAAGAGCTGAAATCAGGACATGCCAGATACCAGCAAACAGAGGAAAGTTATTGGAAGACTAATAAAAGAAATCTTGTGTGTCATACTTGGCTTAGCGTTGATCACCACCTTCTCCCCAGAGTGAGGAGCAGGGTATCGGCTGTTATCGACCATTTCCTCGCTGGATCCAAACTCCAGTACTTCCACAAAACTCAAAGGTACACTCCACTTCAGGAGAAACCTCTGGTCCAGTGGAGTGTTTCCACTGCCACTCCCACTGCCATCCTGGCACCTGTTTCAATTAAAAAGGACAGACAAAACAAATGTGGGTGAAAAAATAAAGTGGAAGGAAGATTTACGTTCACTACTGCACGAAAGTGACGTCAATATGTGGGGAGAAAATTAAGCTGGAAAGAAAAGGGAGAACCCAAAGTGGTCAAATAATAGCAACTTTCAGTATTTAACAGATTTTCTTCAAAGAGGGTTGAGATCTCCCTTACCGAATATTAGGCGTGGCACACATGAGCACATCATTTAGCAGGAAGAGGCGTCGCTCTTTTGTTTTGATGATTTCACCACGTTCATTGTAAACAGTCTCCACCATGTCGTCTGAGCGAATCAGGTAGCGGCTACCATTACTTAGAAGCTAAATGGTCAGTATAAAAAGAAAGAAAAATAAGCCACAGCTTAGAAACCTTAAAAAAAAAAAATCACACACACACCCGAGTTGGTTCTGCTATATGTAGTGAGAAACATGCGTTGACTGCCATTGAGTTTCAGTTATTTTAACACTTTCTATGCCCTAACCCTAAAACTAAACCTAACCATTACCAATGCATACCTTTCCTTAACCCTAACCCAACTGTCACCTTAGCCCTAAACCTAACCGTTAGCAAAATAACTTGTAAGGACCTCACTTTACAACAACGGGTCCTCAATTTGATGGTGAAATTGGAAAAATGGTTCTCACTCTGATCGCTGGACAGGTACACACACACCCACAGATAGATTAGGATATAATAGATTTCATTACAATAGAGCAACTCCTTGTTTCCCAAATTTCCTCTGACAGCTCTATGAAAGTACTTGTTATGGATGAGGGTAAATAAAGCTACAATTCAGAGTAATTAAAGCGTAAGAGAAATAAAACTCAACAGGCCCACGCTGGATGCTCAGTAAACACGAGTTAGCAAATGAGCCAGAGTGGGTGGAAAAGACAGATAATTATAACATGGAGGTTTGTTTGGATTACGTGAAAATCCAAAGAAATCAAAGAAAGAAACAAGCTAAAATCTAAAACCCCTCCAAAAAATCAGCTGCCGAATGATGGAAATGAGGAAATTCAAAAATGTGAACCTTTTTGAGTCAGTGATTTTACCACAATACATGCTACCAGTTTACCAATTTTTGGGATGCATTCTGTGACAGAGTTTGTATTTTCAGTATCGGTAGGACAAAAAAACAAAATATAGATCTGAAAAGATACTCAAAAGTAAAATGTATTTATTTCAACACATAGAGATGTCTTCCTCAGGTTCATATAGGCTGAAAGAGCAAGACTTTCTGTAGGAACCAATGAGGCTAAACAGAGAACAATCTGGATCTGTGACCCTGAGTATCAGTCAAACATAAAAGTCACTTAAACAGGGATACAACAATTGCATAAAGCTTATAGCTTTTATTCATAAGTATAGATTTCATTTATAATCTAGCATTTTTGTATAAATATGCTTTGATATCATCATGGTATTTAAATTAATGTCTGAAGAGCTCGATATGCTGTTAGATTTTAGGATCACATTACGTTCCTGCCCTCAACTTTGGGAACGTGGAAATAGACCTTCCAAAAATTGATTATAGTTCTTAAAAAATAATAGAAACTGGTCATATTGCTGCACCTTTACCAAGCCTACAGTTACGGACCTTGTTGAGGTAGCGTTCATTCATGGCCTTTGCAATGTGACGGATTTCGCAGCGCTGGTCAGCTTCCCTTTTTCTTTCATTGAGTTTCTCTGCCAAGGTCTCCAGCTCTGTCAGGGCCATCTGCAAGGGCAGACGGTCCGCATGACCCACCGGTGTGTTCTTTAGCATGTCCTGATCAGCATAAGAGAAATCCAGCATTAACAGCACAGCAGGCTTTGTTAATTAAACCATTTTTATAGCTATATCCTTTTTTTCTGTTATATTTTTGCTGGTAAACACATAATTGAAATGAAAGCAAAACCACATCCTACATTTTGTAAAAACACACAGATATCAGAAATGGGGAACAAGGTAGAAAGAAAAAGAAACTATCTAGTCTGAGCAGTTTTAATGCTCCAAAAGAAAAAGTTATTTTTTAAAGAGCGTCAAACTCCCCCTGCTGGTGATAAACATGTATAACAAAATGTTTTGCTGATTACCTGAAGGAGCAGAATGAACTGTGGGAATCTTTGAATGGGTTTCATCATCAGGCCATAAAGAGTCATTCGGTCACTGCTGGTTTCTTGACGATGCTATAAGCACAATTGTTATCATGAGGTGAAGAACAGTAAATATAATTGTTCATTTAACAGCTAGAATATCTTTTTTTACAGGGTTCAGTAACATGAAAAGCTGGGAGAAGCTTTAAAAGTAACCAAAGTTAAAAGAAAAGCTGTAAAAGCTTCCAATCAAAACACAGCAGATGGAAATTATGGAAAAAAAAAAAAAACAAAAGTACCAAACATTAGTACGAGACCAATATAATCAGTAATTTCTGGAAGGAACACTTCAAACCTTGAGAAATTCCAGGAAACCCGGTTTAGAGGCGCAAGTCTTCCTTACGACGGCCATCGCTGTGCTGAAGTTGTTGACATACTCACTGTAAGCATCCAGCACCATGGATTTTGAAAACTGTACAGAAAACAAAGGATGAAAAAATATAAAAGATGCAGCTTGCAATTACATGAAGATGTTTTTATGGAAATCAGGTAAAAAAAAAAAGAGAATTTACATGTATATTTAGAGTTAAACACTATCTTAGTTCTCTCTATGCATGAACTTTTAAGGTAGGAATATTATAATATTTTAATATTTCAACGCTTTTATTAGATTTTTTTATTTAGACCGTTGAAAATTCTCTTTCATTTAGCTTAATAGCTTTTCATTACTTACTGCCTCAGTAAAAAACTGCTTAAAAGGGAGAGCTTTAAAGGTAAAAGCTGAGTTTGTGTATGTATCTGAATGAATTCTTACCGATGCAACAAAGACATCTCCGATCATTTCCAGGCTGTCCCACTCAGAAACACGGCTCGCAATAGCTATCTGGAACAGGAAGTGGCACTGCAGGATCTCCCGCACGCGGTAAAAGATGATCTTCAGCTTCCTGTCGCTGAGAAGCTTGGGCTCAATCTGGGAAAGGGGTTTCTCATAATGCTACAAAGCAAAAAAAAAAGTAAATAATCTGAAAAATCATATCTAGCATTTCAAATTCAGAGCGCTAAATTGTTGCTGTACTCACACACCTCCAAAATCCTTTTGAGAGCATCAAGATAATTTTTCTCACTTTCTAAAATAGAGCCCAATATGCATCTTCGCACAAGCTGTAGAGAGAAAATACTAAATCAATAGTATTTGATGCGTTTAGTTATTTTTGCAGCTTTAAGACGTCCGATTAGAGCCTCACCTGCTGCTGAGTGAGACCCTCTGGTGTTGGACAGAGAACGGGCTCCACGTTGAAGCAGTCCACTTCAATGAAGAGCTCAGACTCCCCCTCCAAGCAAGCAGACTTTCTCTCTAGAACAATGAAGCAATAACTGATTTATTAACAGAGATGATAGAGCCGTGGGGGGGAGGGTGTGGGGATGGCATACCTTGACAGAATGACTTTGTTTTGATGAAAGAGCGCCCCCTCTTCACCGCAGCTTTAGTTTTTTCAAGTCCATCTTTCGTCCCCTCCTTGGCTGCCTTCACCAGCTTTTGCATCTTGGATGAGAGTTCTACACTGTCATTTCCATCTCAATGGTAACTCTGACTTGTTTACTATCAGAGCTCTGTCTAAGTGATGTTTAGTTTACTTCATCTAAACCTAAAGCTATTAAGAGGCTGTGCTACAATATTGTAAGAGGGTTAGAGTACAGATGAAGATGTATGGGGATAAAAGGGTTAAAATGGTGGAAACTGAGACTTCAGCAAGAAAAGAAGACCTGGATTTTATTACAAAGTTACAAATTTCAATCATGAGTGTATGACAGCAGCAAACATTTCCTGCAAGAGGCTCATTCAGACTGCACTGTGCCATCGTAAAGTATTCATAACTCCAACACTGTTTTAGATTTAGTCATTTTACAAACTCAAACATTGCTGTATTTGATGGAGACTTCATGTGACAGATCTACAAGAAGTACAGAATTTTGAGGAAAAGGAAGCAAGGTTTTCCAAATTTGTTTAAAAAATAAAATAAAAATTAGTGTATATGTGTATTCAGAACCTATGAGTCGATATGCAAAATCAGTCAGATTGGATACGGAGAAACTGTTTCCAGGCCTTGTCACAGATTCTTATGGTGCAGTATAAATCCAGACCTAAGTCCAGCAAACTCATGGTCACGCTTTGTAGGCCTGTTGTCTGCTGTCCTGCTAGCAGAGGCTTCTCAAATCGTTTTTATTAATGGCTTAACTCTTCCATTATAGGCGGCTTTGTCAAGAGTGCTGCAGCTTTTCGTCTGGAATCACTGCAAAAACGATCTAGAAATAAGATTTATATAAGATAATAAAGACTAACCCTTTATTTAAGTAGGTAAATAAGATGTTTTGCCAAATGAATGAGTATTTTTACTCTTAAAATATGATAATTAGATAACATTAGCTCCGACATTGGCAGCCCACTGCTCACCAAGGGGTGGGTTAAATGCAAAGAGAGAATTTCCCCATTGTGGAATAATAAATGATTTACATTTTTTTACAACATGCACCTGAAATAAGACAATGCAGTTGTTTTTTCTTATTTTAAATGCATATTGTCTTGTTCCATTGGCAAAGTGTCTCATTTACCTCCTCATTTCAAAAACAAATGCGCATATATTAAGAAAAAGGACTTATTTACGGTTTGGATTTTTTTTTCATTGTATGCTGCTGTGCTTTACAGTTTCTATTTTCAAAAAGGCTGATAGAAAATCTGTGATAAGTTCAAAGCTTGAAATACCGTCTTGTGGTAGAAACCCTGAGATCTTTCTCGTTCACCTGTCTGCTGCTTTCCAAGGTTTCCCGTTGCCTTAAGCTCATGAATGTCTCCAAATAAAACTTTCTGGATTTCTCGCAAAAGCTTTATTTTTACCAAATTAAATGACACACCAGGGAACTATCTTCTACTGAAGTAATAGGTTAAACTGAAATACATTTTTAAGTGGCTTAGTAAAGGGGGCAGAAAATATATATTAACTAAGACTGAAACAATTAATTGGATTAATTGTGATTAATCGATTATTGAAATAAGCGTCAACTAATTTAGTATATCGATAAATCGTTAACTGGAGTATAGAGACTATTAAATCATGTCTTTGGCTGACAGAGCGACCTACTTTGAGCAGGAATTATGGCAAAATCATAATAAAAATGTATACATTTTGCATTTAAGGTGAAAAAAAAAAAATCATCCGTTAATATGCCCTATCCAGAACTCTTCATGTAGAATAGTTTTAGTTTCACTTTGTTTATTCTGCAAAAAACTTCTTTAAGGAAAATTTTTCTATCCTATCAATAATTGAGTAATCAGAAAAATAATCGACAGATTACTCGATTAGCAAAATAAACGTTAGTTCCAGCCCTAATACTTACATAAAACTGTTTCTTCATATTTTTCTAGCTTTCTTCTTTCATAACTATCTAGCACTTTGTGTTACTGTATCAAAGTCAACAACAAAATCCAGGGAAGTCTGTGGTTGTATTGAAAGTAAACGAAAAAAAGATTAAAGATGTATGAAAACTTTTGCAGGGCACTGTATGTAAGGTTTCAGTGGAAGAAAATATTGAATAAGAACTGGTGTTGCTGGTGTCTCAGTTCCCCTTCAACTAAGCTGAGCTACATGTTAGAAAACAGACCATCCTAACATTTAAAACCTCTGGAGTAAAAAAAGAAAACATCTGTAGATACATCAATTAAGCCGACGGTGAGGTAAATAAACCGAATACTAGCCCATCACCAGTACCACCACCACAGTATTACACACCATACCAGGATGAAGGTACCGAGTCAGTGGGGTTAGCCAGACTGAGAGTCAACAGGGTTGCATCTAGTTGTTTTAATCTAGCTCAGACACATGAGGGGAGCCTGAGGTCATTTACCTTCTGCTCGTGTTTCTGTTTTAACTGCTGCAGCTCTACCGTTCCCACTGTACTTGCCATTAGACCTTTCATCTTTTTCTCATAGTGTTCTTTCAAGCGTGTCAGATCTTGAGAGAGCTAAACAAAAGCAAAGCAGGTATTACTGGTCACGGTCCTGCAGCCCACGGTGTCAGGAATCTCAGTGTTTGGGCTGAAATCTACCGCTTTTCTTTGTTGTTCTTTTATTATAAATGCTAAAATATGTTACACTTCATCACAGAAATTTGGATAAATAAAATGAAAAATATATCAAAATCCCAATAGGTTACCTTGGTTTCAGGGTCAATGATATGAAAGTTGGTGGTTTTTAATTGACAGTCCTTTATTTTGCATAAATGATAAATTTTAGAAATGTATTTTTTTTAAATTACAAAATGAAACAGATAATTCAAATAATAATAAAAAAAAACTTATTGTAATTCCTGGGTTTCCGTGACCAATTTCTGATGAATTATAAATTTTTATTCTCTCTCAGAGGCGTGGATCAGTGTGAGGTTTTTACAATATGTTAACTCACAAGGTTTCTACACCTCCTCTGACATCATAATGACTTTTCAGAACCACTTCTATCAAATTTAAGGAGAACACAGACCAGCATTCACCTACTGCGTCCATTATAAATGTTGAGAAAACTCTAAATCATGTCACAGACTCTGCATCACACTAAAACACCAAACCAAAATACTGCATATTTGCACCATATATATTAATGCTCTAAACTTTCATATCAATACATTTTTGCACCATGCTTTTTTTTTAAACAAACTACACAAAATTTTTCTTTGTCTAAATCTAAGTCTTGATAATGCTACTTAGAGATGGTGTGAAAATGCAAATCCTTGAACAAAACAAAACTGAAAATACAGAAGCTGTTCGATCAGAATAAATAAAAAAAGAGGATAGAATGTATAGCTAACATTCATATCGTTTATAGCTTATTTCCATACCAATAATACATGTAGTTATGAGGCTTTGTTGAAGCATTAAATAAGTAATAGTGACACCTAGTGTTTTAAATAGGAACTACATAAAAAAAAGTTAGCCGCAAAATAGTTTGTCAAACATCACATAATCTTCAGAAGTTTATATGTATCTAAATGTATAAAACGAGTAGAAACATATGAAACAATGGACCTGAAAAGAACCATCCCACACATCGGCATACTATTACGCACCCTGACTAAATTGCTCCCCTACCAGGAGAAATCCACAACAAGAAACTCTTTTTAAGAAAACCCAAAGACTCCAATCAGCCGTACTTCTAAAGGGACATCTTTGGAAAAAAAAAAAAAACTCAAACTCAATTTTGGAGCACTGGCTATGTGAAAGACGCTTTTCATACTGCAGGCAGGTTCTCTGTAAGGTTCACTTTAACTTAAGAATTTAAGGTACACCATTGAATACCTCAAATACCACTAGCACATATCCAGACCTCATTCATCATTTTTGGGATTCATATGCAAATGTAGGTCGAGATAATAAGACAACAAATACAACATAAAAGTGAATTATTATGTCGAGCTCACGTAGCAAGGCTGGATACGTAGTCATAATATTTAAAAAAGATTTTAAGCCTATAATGTAAAACATTGGGTTCCCACGCACACAAATCAGGTGAAATTTCAAATATTTTCCACAAATTGTTCAAATTTATTTAAAATAGAAAATTTGGAAATTGGCACTGAAAGCATATAAAAGACAAAGTAATGCCTAATGTATCAAAATTTATGCAAATAAGTGATCTAATTTAACTTTACGGAATGCATGTTTTTTTTATTTCATTTGTCAGAAAGTTCAATGACGACTTGAATTAAAAAAAAGTGAAACTTCTGCCAATTTTTTTATCTTGGCTAAAAAGGGTTAAATATGGAACCTGAAAGGAAAGCAAGAGGAAAGGAAAGGATGTAGGACTAAAGGAACGAACGTTGGGAAGAATACATTGGAGTGAGGAAGCAAGGAATGAAGGAAGGAGGGAATGTTAGGAAGAATACATTGGAGGGAGGAAGCAAGGAAAGAAGGCAGGAATGTTGGGGAGAATACATTGAAGGAAGGAAGCAAGGAAAGAAGGCCGGAACGTTGGGAAGAATACATCGGAGGGAGGAAGCAAGAAAGGAAGGAAGGAACGTTGGGGAGAATACGTTGGAGGAAGGAAGCAAGGAAGGAACGAACGTTGGGAAGAATACATTGGAGGAAGGAAGCAAGGAAAGAAGGCCGGAACGTTGGGAAGAATACATCGGAGGGAGGAAGCAAGAAAGGAAGGAAGGAACGTTGGGGAGAATACGTTGGAGGAAGGAAGCAAGGAAGGAACGAACGTTGGGGAGAATACATTGGAGGAAGGAAGCAAGAAAGGAAGGAAGGAGTGTGAGTGAGATGGGACACAACATAGGACCACTAAAGAATGGGATGAAAGATGGGACACAAGGAAGAAGAGGGAGGTAAGGAAGAAGAAAAGAAAACAACTCCAGAGTCTCAAGGGAGGAAGGAAGGGAAAGAAGATACATTAAAAGACAGACAGTAACAAAGAATACAAGAAGGGAGGGGCGTAATAAAGAGCAGACAATGCAGGAAGGACAAAGGGCATGAAAACAAGTCAGGAAAGGGAGAAGAGAGAAGAGACAGGAAGGAAGGAAGGAAGGAAGGAAGGAAGGAAGGAAGGAAGGAAGGAAGGAAGGAAGGAAGGAAGGAAGGAAGGAAGGAAGGAAGGAAGGAAGGAAGGAAGGAAGGAAGGAAGGAAGGATACAGTGTTGGAACAAAAAAGCAAAAATGGAGAAGTTTTGCCAGATTGTTATTTTCCTGGCTGACCACAAGGGTGCAGCAACAAGTGGGGAGAGGGACTATGGCATGATAAGCATCATACAGCAGAAGAAACTTCAATTCCTGGAGAATTGAAACATACATATATATTAAGATAAGCATCCATTGATCAGACGGCTGAATTTGATAAATAGATTGATGAACCCAAATCTACCCATAAATCAAATTTTTTCTACACATTTTCGCACACATAATTAAAACATATTTATTATTCCTTCATTTAAAGGGGAAAGAGGATAGAGGCACTGATTGATTCATTAAGGCAGGTTTTGTTTATGGTCATGAAGCAATGTTGGAAGCAACAGGACGACAGGAATACTCACATGGATTTTCCTCTGCGGTGGCTTTCCCCTCATGAAGGCATGGGGGAGGCCATTTTCAGGGTGACCCTCCCCATCGCTGGCTTCGTCGTAGCTTTCAAACTCGCTCGAGCTCCAGCCATTATCGAGGGAGCTGCTGCAGCCGCCCTCCTCGCCCAGCTCCACATCATCATAAATCATCTCATCTGGATCTGAATCACAGAGAACGAATTAAAGAAACTTTATCTACTATAAAAAAAACTTCTACCAAACCACATCTTGAGTTTTAAAACTAATTAACCTTTAATTTATTCAAGTATAAATCTGAATTTGATCAAACTGTATTTCATAAAAAATTCTCTTTATCGTTATTAAATGTTTCAACAAAAAAAAAAAAAAAAAAAGACAAGAGAAAATCTCCTATATATGAAATCAGTGGAAGAAACGAAAGAAACTGTGCTGCCTCCTGCCATATTGAAGATAGGAGGCTTCATGCTGAACTTCAAAAAGGTAAAGCACAAACCTGTGTTAGAGTCTGAGTTCTCTCTGGGGACATCATCATAGATCACCTCATCTGGGTCTGAAGAACATGTCAAAACATCACAAAAAATAAACATTCGAAGAATGCCAGTAAGACGATCAGACTATTCATGGCACATTCACAGCAGAATGGAAGAAACATTGAATAGAAAGGCATGCAGAAGGGACTGCTTCCTCAAAAAAAAAGGGAAGGAATCGCCTATTGTGTAAAAAGCAAAGTGGAAAAAAGAAAGGATATATTCAAAGGCATGTCTGGTAGTGTCAAAACTAATTAAAAAAATTTATGTTTTTATCCCAACCAGATCTTACTTACTTTCCATCCAAGCGGTGTTGGCAGGATCTGATGCCCATTTAGCCAGAGCATCTTCCTCTGCAATAGGTGGATACTCTTCACTGAAAACACGTGAAAAAATAATCAAATACTCTTTTAGAATTCCTTTTTTTTTTGCAGTTACAACAAAATAGCAGAAAGCACTTCTTCTAATTAATTAATATCTTAGAATAATTTAGAGTATATGTATTTGGATGAGCAAATATGTTGACCTACCTGTCAGCAGAGGTGTTGCTAGTTCCCACCACTGTCACTGAGACACAACAGAAAGAAATGTTATCCAAAACAGGAGACTGACTTAGGAGCAAAACAACAGTTCATAAGAACTGTTCAAAATGGCTTCCCATAAATTCTCTAGATCAGGGGTCTTGAACGTTTTCCAAGCCAAGGACCCCCAAACTGATGGCAAGATGGAACGGGGACCCCCTAATTATATATATTGTATGAAATTATGATACATCAAACTGGTCCTATTGTCACTCTATTACATATGGTGTAATGTAAGGAAAGTAATTTTCCCTGTGATTATAAAAGTATTTCTGATTCTGATTCCTGGTTGATGGGACAGGTGTTTTGAATGAAACGGTGCCCAGCTTGAAGAAGCTCCTGTGTGTCGCTGAATGTGTGCATTGATGATTGAAAGACATCTTCTGCCTCCATTTATCTGTTTACTACACTGTGTTGAATTCATGTTAATGTGGATTTAAAGACATTTCAACTAGTGGAAAAAAATTGCAGGGGGGAATGTAAAAAAAAAAAGAAAAAGTTTAATCAACCAAAACTTTTGCGACCCCCACGCAGTACCTCTGTGAACCCCCTAGGGGTCACAGACCCCCTGTTGAAGACCTCCGCTCTAGATTGTATAACTGTAGCAGGAAATGAAGGTCATCAGAATATCTATTTTCAGGACAACATATAGACCAAAATAGTACATTTATATTCACATTTTTTATCACATTGTTTTAGAAAAGAATCAATCTTTTGACTTTTTCTGTTTAACCACATTATGAGAAAATTAGACGCATACATGACATTATACCTTCCAGTGGAACCTAGGGGTTAGACTGGGAATTCAAGTCAAAGAAGAAAGCACGGCTCAGCTTTCAGCAGGAATAACTTCCTCAACTTGAAGCCCCCCATAAGCTGATTTAACTTGAGTTACTTTATAAAGAAAGGGCAAAACAAGCCATGTCCATAATAGGAAAGATCGACAGAGACACACTGTAAGCATGTCACCCTGTTAACCCCAAAATACATATAATTACTATTATATTCTAGATCATATAATAAAATTTACTATATATTTATTTATACAAATTAATTTTATTTACACTTATAATAAGAATAATACTCAGGAATCCTAGTTTGTAGGTGTGGATGCATGGAGGGTTTATTATGTTTATGTTGATCTTTACACTACATAAAATGAATATTATACGAGGATGTATGCGTATGTGTTGTTATACGTCAAAAACATAATAAAAATATCCAAGATAAAAAATGTTTTCATTTTTAAACTTTTTTTTTATGGTGATTTTTTTTATGTAAAGGTATATTTAATATTTGATTTGTGTATTAGATAAATAAAAAAGAAAAAACATTCCATCCAGTTATTTAACGATAAATTGATGTAAACTAAAAAACAAATGGATGTCAAACATTTCTGATATGTTTTTTGAAAAATATGTGAAAAATCATCCTGCTTTCTATATTCTATAATACTTTGCATTGGTCAAGGACTCAGCTGTGAAACTACTCCTCAGGGTGGCACTGGTTGCCTGCATCTCCTAGATGCGTCTCTGCATAATCATCAGCCCTGAATCAGATCATCAAGTCATCCACAGTAGATAATGATTTAATTCAAGAGGTAATTCAGCCTTTTTTCCAATAGTTGCACACAGAACCTCCTTGGCTGCAGTTTGAGAACCAGATTAAACCCTATACAGGCCTAGATATCTCAGATGAATTGCAATCAGTGAAACCCTTAAATTTTTAACAGCAGTGAATACTTTGTCCACATTGGTGCCTAAATGTTTAGACAAACTCATGGTGATTTGTATTATCCAATCAGAACAGCTTCGACCTACGGAAGAGGATTAGGGCCACTGAAAAAAAAAAAAAAGTAAACTGATTTTTAAATTTTATTTCAGTTTAACATGGGAAAAAAGTCAGAATTCTGACTTTTTTCTCAGAATTCTGACTTTAATCTCAGAATTCTGACAATAAAAAAAGTCAGAATTCTGAGAAAAAAAAAGTCAGAATTCTGACTTTAATCTCAGAATTCTGAGAAAAAAGTCAGAATTCTGACATTAAAGTCAGAATTATGACTTTTTCCCCATACTATACTGAAATAAAATTAAAAAAATCAGTTAACTTTTTTTTTTTTTTCAGAGGCATTAATCCTCTTCCGTATCAACCTATATTTAGTCCTTAGACAAAACTAAGAAAAAAAAAAAAAAACATCTGCCACCAGGGGTCACTGATTGCTCCCTACATGACATCATTTTGACATCATGTAGTCCAGTATCTCCTTAATTCCATCTAAGCATGATCTTGTTTTCCTCATTCACTGTCTTAAAGTCCTCACAGGGCCATAATGCAGCTGTGATTATTATGGGCGAAAAACTCATTAGTCAGAAGGGAAACATAACTGCTAAACCTTTTTAGGATCTACCTAATGAAAGTTATTCCCTACAATAAAACTGAGTATTTCAACAAAATGTGAGTTTGAAAAGAGACTAATGGTGCCTGTAGACGGCTGTGCCTGCTTAGACAGCAGGATTTTAGGGAAAACGGAAAATCCTCACAGCCAGCAAAGATCTAAAGGGAGGTCTAAATTTAGTCTCCACTTCCTCGTGGAAGGCTTTAGGAAAAACAAGAGAAGAGAAGAGGGGGGCTGCTGTGTGTCGAGGCTTCACACACATACTCAGACCCAAATAAATCACAGCTATCAAGGGAATAACTTTTATGACTCCTGGTTACAGACTCTACTTTACCATCTTCATCCATGGAGAGATGTCGAATGATGACAGGTGTGGTATAGGCAGGTGTGATGAGAGGAACACCAGAGGGGGTGGCATAGCCACAGGGCACAGGCACGGAGTATCCTGAAGTAATGCTGGAGGAGCTGGTGAGGATATCCCTGCCCTCTTCCTCTTGTAGTTTTGACTCAGTTAGTGAGGAAGTGGAAGAGGAGGGTCCCTGTTGCTGCTCTAGCTGCTGCATGGGACTGATATCAATTACTGAGTAAGGGTTGACTTTAGTCCGAGAGGAAGTCCTGGGCAAAGCCGGTGAAGGTTGTGGGGCATCCAGGGAGGCATCTTTTCTTTCAGCGTCTACAGAGAAACAAAGGATACAGCTTTTATATACAATGGATGCAGCTGCATGAATCCAAATACAGCACAATAAGTTATATCAAAAATAAAAGTTTACCAAGTTGCCCCATGTTTAAACTAATTTATTATAATGATTTTAAAACAACAGGCTAACACTGTGTTAGTTAAATTGGTACCAAATAACAGTTCAAGGAGTGGAGGGGCAGGGTAGGGCGCTATGGTGCACACACGGTTATTCAAAACTTTGGTGCAGTTTGTGGCCCTACTACCTTGCAGCAAGAAGGTTCCGGGTTTGATTCCTGGCCCGGCGTCTTTACTTCGGCTTCCTCCCACAGTCCAAAAAAATGACTGTTAGGTTAATTGGCATCTTTAAATTGTCCTTAGATGTGTGTGTGTGTGTCTTTGTGTGTCTCAGTGTTGCCCTGCAACAGATGCCATGCCTTTCAGACGGCCTGTCCAGGGTGTACCCTGTCTCTCACCCATAGACTGCCAGAGATAGGTACCAGCCCCACCGCAACCCTGACCGGATAAGTGGGAGAACATGGATGGACCCGAGTCTTTTCTTACCTACATTTCCATAAAAAAAGTTTCACTTTACCTTTAATTAAGGCACCCTTAACCTGTGATTAAGAGAGCTCTATATTCTCCAGGACTTCTGAAGACTGTTGCAAAAACGTCACCGACATATTTGGTAAACCTCAATTCAGTGGAAAGGCAAACATAACCTTACTCTGCCCTCCATCCTCACCAGTTTTTCCCCTGCTGCTTTCCTTTCTAGCCTACTGCAATGAAACAATTTTACGAATCACATTCAAACCAAATATCTCCACACAATCCTTAAAATTCTAAAGATAAAACATCTTAAAAGAGTTATTTTTTAAGCCAGTCTTTGGGTTAACTACGACAGGTTTCCTCTTACAGTAAGTGACATTTAAATGAAGAACACATATAACCAAAAAAAATAAAAAATTCAATGTAACCTTAAAAGGGCGAGTAATATCGGCTCAGGTTGTTATTATCAAAAGGTTATTTATTTGACAAACACATATTGTAATTTATTAAATATAAATATATGTCATACAATTATAATCAACTCCTTTCAAGCATATTCTGGTCAATTTTACAGGTTAAAAGGAGCTAAAGCAATTTAAGAGGGAGCCTAAAATATGGAAATTAGAGCAAAAACACTGTTTTAGGATAAACAAATAACATCAGTCCATCCATCCATCCATCTTCCAGACTAAGCAGGGTCATGAGGCATCCTGGTGCCTATCTCCAGCTGTCTATAGGCGGGGAACGCGCTGGGAAGGTCGCCAGTCAATCGCAGGGCAACACAGAGACAAACAAACATTCACACACACTCACACCTAAGAATTTAGAGAAGCCAACTAACCTAAACAGTCATAGCTTTGGACTGTGGGAGGAAGCCGGAGTACCTAGAGAGAACCCAAGCATGCTCAGGGAGAACATGCAGAAAGACGCCAGGCAGGGAATCGAACCCAAAACCTTCTTGCTGCATGGCCGAAGTGCTACCCACTGCGCCACTGTATAAATATATAAGTGTATAAATATATAAACTCTATTAACTGTATAAATATATATGTGTATATGTATAAATAAAAATGAGTATTAATTTAGAAATTAAAACAGAATGAATTGGAGAAAAAAGACTAGGATTAATTTCAGTTGTAAACTATGGGAGAAGTGGACAGCCTTTCTTTAAGTCCAGAGCTATAGGTCTGGACACTGTAAACAGGGAGAACCAAAAGAATGTGGGGAATTTAAGATGACTGCCAAGAAGGAAAAGCAATGTATTGTACTTAGAGTGTCATTCACAATTAGCTGTTTTTCTGAGCACAGATTGCATAGAGACAGGCCCTAATTTATTAAAAAATAGGTTAAAATGAGTGGAGGGAGCTTCAAAATGAAAAAAAAGGAAATGTTAGAAGTAAACTCTCCGGTTTACAAACCCGCGCTTCTGGGATCTGTCTGTACACCATAACCAACAGGAGGGGGTGGAGACGGCAGTGGTGGTAAATCTTCCTCCTTGTCATTAGTTCCCTCAGCAGCAGATGTCTCTTTAGCTTCTGTTGTTTCTCTGCCTGCTGAGGAAAATTCGCTTATGGCAGCCGTAGTGTCCAGGGATGAAGGTTCTGAATGGGAGATTGGCGGTGGAGGCTCCGGGATGCAGTGAGAGTCCTCGGGATGAATGGTCAAAGAGTCCACCGGGCTCGGATCCTCAGTGGGAAGGATTGGAGGTGCTGGAGGAGCCTCAGGGATGTCATCTCCACTGTCAAAGTCAAAAGCTTCTCCTTCATCTTCATCATTGAAGGCATCATCATCTGCTAGCACTATAAGCAGAAGAGCAACAGATTTAGATGTAAAGAAAACAACTTTTTCAGTTATCAGTAATGCATTTAAAACTTTAAAGTACTATGATACCAATGTGACATACTAAGAATTTTGAAGAAGTCTGGTCACATTCAGAATTCAAACTTCTAAAAGTACTTTAAATATGAAATTATTACATACTGTTCAATAAATGATAAGTGCTTTTAATTGTGAGTAATTTCATTAGAATGCGCTTTACTGGAGGTAAAGGTTGGAAATGAATACTACTGCCTACTACCAGTTTGTGACGTCACGGTGCGGTATCTGCTGTTGATCAAGTCCCAGTGCTGTATCTGGTGTTTGTCACAACGCGCTATTATCCATGATGGCCACGATGAGTGCACCAGGAGAACTAGAGAGTAACGGAATAATCACGTGTTTTTTCTCTGGCCGGAAGTTCGACGGCAAATCCTCACTCTTCAATTTCTCTAAAAATCAACCCTTCCGTGGAGGATCATGAATCGGAAAGGTGAAAAAACTTTTTTTTTTTTTTCACTTTTACCCGATGTATTCCAACATCCAACTGCCATGCACGTGGGCATTGTCAGTTTAACTATAGCTATTGTTGTTGATTACTAGACTGGTAAACCAGACTAAATGGGAGATGAGTAATTTAGTCTGGCCCTGATGAATGAAACATCAGAAGATTGTTGATGAAAACAACCAGTTGTTTTTCAAACCCCAGGTCTAATCTTTCCAAAACGGATTCCAAAAATGAGTCAAAAATCGCCATCAAAGCCAGCGGTCCTCCACATATGACTATGCCGGGAGAGGGCCACTGCAGACTGAAATGGACCATATAGCGACGCTTTAAAGTATAATATTCTCGCCTCAAATTATCTTAAAACGTACTTTTATTGAACAACGGCAACAGAAAGAGAACTTTTAACTTTCAATGGAGCGCTCCATTGAAAGCTGCTGCTGCCGCAGCGCATGCTACTATGTCGTCAACTTTGTCGTTATGCCCTCAAAACCCCACCCCCTCTGCAATCCAGACATTCGAAACATCTCTGCATTGTGATTGGCCCGCCAGTTCTAGGGCCTGGGGCATTGATCGATGCTAGACCAACTCGCAGGCAAAAATGATTTTGCCCGCTGGCAGGTGGGGCTAGTTTACTAGGCTAGTTGATTGCAGATGTGTCTAGTATCTCCCATTGATTTTGCTTGTAAAGCGGGGAGAATGACGCTAGGTTTACCGCACCGTGATGTCACTGCCGGAACATGTCAGGAGTGAGGTGTTACAATATTTGGGCAAAAAATTGGCCGCTTCCAGACTCAGTAATCGAGACGAAAATTATTGTTTTTATTTTTTTACTGATTACCGCTTAATTAATTAAATCGCCGCAAATGTATTAGTTTTAGGTATGAATAATGATCTATTGATAATTCCTTGCTGACCCGACTTTTCCTTTGAGAAGCTTTAATATTTGGGCTGTTTACAAAGAGATAACTCAGGATTCTTAGCAGCAGCACAAAGGTGGCCCCGGCTGCAGACGGCTGAAGCAGTCATAGGTAAACATTCAATCCCCCCCACCCCCACAGAGACACAGGTGCAAAAACCAAACAACAGATGCCAAGAGAGTTACCACAATTCAAAAATGCTGCTGTAAGTTTCTAAAATGTTTAACTTGAAACATTTTACCAGAACAGATCATGAGCTACTTTACTCATCACACAGTTTTTCAGTAAAAAATACAAGATATAGACTAAAGGCCTTAAAGGCGTCACATTCACTGACTTGGCAGCAGACAGGAAGGAAACATTAAATATTTCCACTCTGCAATTAGGCTTGAAGTGAAGGAAAGCTGCTACTCCCTTTAGAGAGAAGTACAGCCTGAGTTTATGCATTACTTCTTAAAGATGATCAATGTGGGGGATTTTAGCAAAGCTCGGGTATTACTTCATATCTTCTCCACTTTCATAAAAACAAAATGAAATCAGAGTTTTAAAACATAAATCTATCAGAGTAACAGACAGAGCAGGAGCATAGTTTGCGGTCAGAATAGCTACTGTTTTTATCATGTTTTAAACATTTTCTTGTCTCCGTTCAGATAATTCTGTCTTTCAGTGTTGATGAGAGATTCCTGGGATTCCTGGGAGAACTTTACTCCATAGAACAGCTTGACTGGATTAAGCTTCAGTCTACATTCTCATTTGTCCCTGTAGCCAATATGCTGACTTGTCCCCAAAGTAAATAGAGCATTCCCCATGCATGTGGTGTCATGTTCAGTTTGGCGTCACATTCATGGGTGTGACAAAATCTTAAGGTCTCTGTGTTGATGCCAGGACCTTTCTTAAAGGGAGGCTTTCTCCCTTCCCCTGTTTTGCTGCGATTCTGTGTAAAAGTAACCAGCTAAGGCAAAAAGCAGACTTTTTTTTTTACTTTACAAGATCCAACCACTGTGTCTTATGTCTGTGCAGTTATCAAGTAAAGGTTTACTGAAGGAAGCCCCAAGCGGCGAAAACCCCACAACTTTGAAATTCCTGAAACCAAATCATGGAGCTCTAAATTAGCAACACAACACCCTCAGGCTCTGACAGGTAGCATTTCCAGCTCTTGTGTGTGAGAGCAAACACTCTGTGACTAATGTTTCAGGTTGGCACTGTGACCCCTTATCTATCTAAACTATCTGCATCTACCAATGACAGTGCGGGGGGTGGGGGGACTTAAAAAACCTGGAAACTTAGATACTATCTGTTATTGGTGGAGTAATGAACTGTGTGGAGAACAGCGATAAAGCACGGATAACCCTCGACTAGGCTGGAAGAAGAGGGCAATGGGATCAGTTCTCATGAATGATGATGAAAGTATGAATAATTTGCTTTCGGAAAGTCAAATTCCAGATTCATCAAATAAAAAAAACATCCAGAGAACCTCTAGGGTAGTGCAAAATCAATGCATTAATTGTAATGAAAAAATCAACTCTTATGCTATAGAAATTCTGACGGGTCCGGACGTCAACGAAAGGATTCAAACAGCACGTTAAAGTCAAAGGTTGAAGTTTCCAAATCCTAGTAGCTGTGATAGAACTGAGAAATGGCTTCTTCTCTGCATGACATTTCTTAGATACGATAGAAGCTGTAAAGCCGCTCTGCCCTGCTAAAAACTGCACAGCAAATATGCAAAAATTCTGATAAATAAAAGCATTTACAGCATCTCTGCACAGTGACGAGTGAAGACAGGCTATTACGGTTCTCTGCAGCCGGATGCTACAGCAAGACCAGATTAAGTATTGAGAAATATATATATCTCTCTATATATATATCTATATATAGATATATCTCTATATATATCTATATATATATATCTCTATATATATCTATATATATATATCTCTATATATATCTATATATATATATATATATATCTCTATATCTCTATATCTCTATATCTCTATATCTCTATATATCTATATCTCTATATATATATATATATATATATATATATATATATATATATATATATATATATATATATATATATATATAGATATATCTCTATATATATATATATATATATCTATATATCTATATCTATATATCTATATATATATCTATATATATATCTATATATATATCTATATATATATATATATATATATATATATATATATATATATATATATATATATAGATAGATATATCTCTATATATATATATATATATATATATATATCTATATCTCTCTATATATCTCTATATCTCTCTCTCTATATATATATATATATCTATATCTCTCTATATATCTCTATATCTCTCTCTCTATATATATATATATATAGATATAGATATATATGTGCTCATATATATAATAACTGAGCTACATCTGAACTATACCCTGAAGAGTTGCTGATTGTCAGTTCGAGCAAACAGCAGGAATTTTGTTCTCAGAACTTTACTGTTCTATATAATGATCCGTTGACATGAGTCACTGGGTTACGACCCGTTCCTGTATCCCCCTGGTAACAAAGCGAGTGACTGGCCAGCTGGAGACGAAGAATTTTTTCTGTCTCCATCCCCAGAGAATGTGTGTGTGTGTGTGTTTGTACTTGTTCGCCTCTGCAGCAGTATTCAGCCTTGTAGTGACTGAGCTACATTGTCTGGTATTCAGCACATTTTAGCCTCCTCCTTCCTTTCTTACCTCTGCCCACACACTTCACAGTGACGGAGAGGAGTCTGTTGTTTACTCATTCAGTCCTGCTTCACACTTCCTACAAATAAGTGCCACTGCCAAGATTTACAGCTGCTAACATGTAATCCTTTTATATCTCTTGAGTATAAAGCATCGATGGAATTGCATTAGCAAAGGAGTTAAGGTTTAGACTTTTATGTTTAGGTTCATATTTTACTTATTTTAACAAACTGTAGATTCTTTTTTGAATCTACAGTCTCTATTCAAACGCAATTACAGGGTTTTTACAGCATAAGGCAAGTTAAATTCAAGACTTTTTAATACCACTTGCAATAAAAATTTAAGACCAAATTCACAAGAAACACAAGAAAAACCCACTTGCGACAACTTAACCCAAAGGTTTATTTTAACATAAACCACCGCAGTAATGTTTCAAATTTTGAAAAGCTTTCTATACAGGAAGAAAGCTAAAAACACACAAATGACGGATATATGTTAACAATTATTTAACTGAATTAAAAAACTTTGTTTTAACAGAGAACAAAACAAATCAGTTTTAAAGCCACAACATAACCAAGTCTTTTTTGCAGCTATTTTTCTTTGTATCGTTTTTTTAGTATGTTTGATTTGGTGATAAGTGGAGGCGTTGCAGAGACAAGGGTGGAACAAAACTGAGAAATACCGGCTGTTTCTTGATTTTGTTTAACTCGATTTTGAAGCTTTGTGTTTCGTGCTTCGCATGTGCGACTCCACTGCCTTAATTCCCATCGTTCCGAGCTTGGATCGCTTCTTGCACAGAATACACTGTGCCTCATGTATGTTCCCTGGTACTGGTTTTAGCCATGGAGAAAACTCTTGGCTGGAGCCAATTTAGTTGCACCAAGTTAATGGTGCATCTCCCGAATGTCCCGGCCGCAATAACGCTTTTATTGGTTCCGCTATCGGGACAGAACCAATAATGGCGAGCCCTTATTTTTTTTTTTTTGATAAATAAAAAAAAAAAAATGTCAATTTTAAAGTTTTATTTAGATTAAAAAAATAAATCGTAATAAAAATAATCCTATTTATGATGTTTTAAGACCTACGAAAGACTAATTTAAGACATTTTAATACCAATTAAGGCCTTAGTTTTATTTTGAAGAATTCAATGCCTTTTAAGACTTTTTAAGGACCCGCGGGAACCCTGAATTAATAAATAAAAAAAGCCAAATTTATGTTATTTCTACAAAATACGATAATCTTAGTTTGAAACATTAAATAGCAGTTACTTCGAGCTTACTTTTAGCTGCTTTTTATAGCGGCATGTGTTTTTACCTCTAATAAACATACAACAAACAGCATAACTCAATTAAAATCCAACGATTCAAATAAACAGTAATACACATACAGTACGCATGATTCATCTCAAATTATCAACAAACACCAAAGGAATCAAGCTAGGTCACATCTAGTTTTTGAAATATACTAAGTAAGTAGGGTGGTTACTCATACTAAGTATATCTGTGGGTAGAATGTAAATGTAATCTGATCTGCTACAGTCTGTAAAAGATGGTATTTTAAATATTTGGCCCGTACGAGGATCGAACCCGCGACCTTGGCGTTATTAGCACCACGCTCTAACCAACTGAGCTAACCGGCCCCTGCTACAAATGTTCCCCCATCGTGTTTAAGATACTGCTCAGAGCACGTTGTATGTGTACAGAAGTTCTGTTGACTTTACTTTCAGGAGGCGGGGGAGGAAACTCGTCCGCATCCATGGCTGATTCTCTTCTCCTGGAAAAACTCCACAAACACCAGTAAGCAGGTCGTTAACTATGTCAGCAGACATTCCTAAAAGAAGAAAAAGAAGAAGAAAAAAAACATGCTTCAGTGAGCAAATGAATTTGATTAAGGAAAAGTGATGTTGACAGTTTTTCTACACATCACAGAAAGTTTAAATATTAAATATAGATTGCCTTTAATGAATATGTATTTAAAAAAAGAAACAAATATAGGATTCTTTTTTTAAACCAACCTTAACTGTCAAAATAAAAGTTTCAAGACATTTTGAGTAAGCCTCTCTTGATCAGAATAAGTTAAAGACTGAGCACACTTAAGGGCTGGTTACTACCTGTGTCATCCCAGCTGGACTTCCATTTCCCAGGTCCCTGACTGAAGCACTAGAATAATCCCACACAGCCCACTGGATCTCTCCATACAGCTCAAGCAACCTTACTCGCCAACCAGCAGTCATGGACTGACCAACTTCATCCTTCTCCACCGCCCGTTTCAGGCCTGGGGGGGAAACATCCCTGTTCTTTACTCCTGTTCATGCATATCAAAACAAAAATCAGCGCTAATGTTTCCTGCCAAGGTCTGAGCGGCAGAGACTAAAGGGCTGGTTATACTCCCGCAGCAGTGTGTCGCAGTGAGTTTGTCGCAGGTATGACGCAGACTTTTTTGATTGATGCCCAATATTGAAGTGTGGTCTGTGCTATGTTATTCCAAGCTAAAACGCTGTAGGGATGTTCATGAACTAGCTGTGAGTCTAGATACGGCCAAGGCGATGAGGAAGTGGGGGCAAGTTTGTGCGAGAACGGAGGGACATGAGGGCAAAAAAGTGTGGGATTCAGGTGGAAAAAGGGTCCCAGCGTTCTTGCACACCTTGCTCTTCTAGTTGGTCCAACTTCATGAGTCGTTTTCCACAATGGCGGTCACACAAACAAAACAAGCCGATAAGATACCAAACAGGCAATACGCATAGGGTAGAGCGGATGTAGATTTGACCAATCAGAGGCCTCCTGTCTGCGGTCACCTATGACAGACACAGACGACCTGGTTTCTGAGTATAAATCAGGCTTTATTGATTTGTTGAAGCAGGAAAGGGGTTGGGGGTGGGGTGGGGGCATCTGTAGCCAGCTGAAAACCTAGAGCCAGCTGCATCTGGCTGTATACAAAAGTCCTCCAATCAAATTGTGAACACTTGTTTGGTTAATATATCTGACTTCCACATTTTACACTTTGTCATTGCAATCTGTAATCAAAGCAGAGTCAGTCAGCAATGCCCACCAGAGGGAAGAGAAAGAAAAGAGGAAAAGTCCAAGATCAAGGGGGAAAAAGTGCAGAAGGATGTTGGATGTCGAGAGGGATAAAACAAGAGTAGAGCTCAGAATACTACATTGAACGATGGCGTTCACCGAAAAGGGGGTCTGAATTTGTTGAAGCATTTCGATTTCACTGCCAAGTTGTTGGAGGTGATGGTGCACAGCCTCAATAATACAGATACTGCTGTATTTGCATATGTTGTTTATTTGGAAATAGATATATGTTTTTTGTGGGATATATTATTGTGATATTTGACCCCTTTGTGACCTTCTGTGTGAATATACACATACTTATAGTTAAAACCATTATTTCTGGGGTTAGATAAGATGTTTTCAAAGCTTCTCTACAAATAAAATTGAAGAACTGTAGCATGAATTTCTATCCAGCCCCTCTGAATAAAAACTTTGCAGAAACTGAAGTTTCATCTGTTATTTGACTGGGAAAGCTTAACGGATGAACACGTTTTAGATGTAAACTTTATTGTTTCCCTGTTTGTATGAGTTGCTGTCCTGCTGGAAGCAGAAACTCCACCAAAGTTTCAAGTATTTTCCAGCCAACAAAGTCCTTGTTTCGATGCCAAAATCAACTCTGATTTTTTTTCTGTTTCAATTAAAGGAAAGCTTCTACACAGCATGATCCACAAAAAGCATTTGCATGCATCCCAAAAAGTTCTCCTCCTGCATTTTCACCCATTTTGCTGAGTTATTTTACTCAGCCATCACTAAACCAATCATGAGCCTTGTTTCTGATTAATGCCCTACAGTCTAATGGTTTAGGAGGATACAATGGTTTAGCAGCTGATGCCGTTATTCTAAATACTGACTTTACTGGTCTCAGTGAAGCTGATTTTGTCATCATTGTTGATTTTTAACCTATAATCTGAAACATACCTCTAAAGCTGGTGTAGCTACCAGATCTGCTCAGCTCATGTGCATGCCAGTGACATTACGCTACACGATTGGCTGAATGTTGCCACATGATGTAAAACATGGTTGCCCAGACAACGATAACATCACGCAGAGTCAGTGTGCAGAGTCGCGAACATCTGTAGTGTTAGCATGTCTAATGACTGATGAAGTTTTACTTGATCAATAACAAAGCGGAAAAAAATCTGTTTATTGTGAACAAAGTAACTGTTAAACCATGATATAAAGAGGGAGAACTGGTTAGCACTGTGGCAATATTAAGCTACACTACTTTTAACGTCGTGTTAACAACAACCATTTGTTTTCTACAGGTAAAATAACTGTTTTATCTGTCCAAAATCTCTGCGAAAGTAATTTTTGAGATGTTTCATTTGTCCTTCCTGTACTAGGATCTTAATAAAAAGAATAAAAATAAGCTCAATTTTTTTTTCAAATCTTGTTAAATGGCAGAGCTCAATCTTAGAAGGCAATACTTTCTTTCAAGACTTAGAATGATTGTTTTCTACTTTTGAATCTTTGGATCGCCAAACAAATGTAAAATAATAGCAAATATAGGTAGTAATATGTTGAGACTCCAAAAGAGATTTGATCCTTAAGAAAGTGGAGTGGAGTGGAGTTGATGTCATAAAAAGAGGCAGGGCCCCAGATCTGGTATCTACAGTGGGCATACACTGTGAGATTTTTTCAATCGTTACACACAGCTACAGCTCACACTGTACGACAAAACCCTGCGGTTTCAGTGTGAGTTCACAGGTCATGATGCATGTTCAGCACGACACGATGCGATCTACCTGCTCACACTCTACGTCTAAAAACCACATGTGAGATGGCACTACTCGGACTCATCTATCTGGAAGCCAAACGAGTAGAAGAGGAATATGAAGCTCGCTAGAGTGAAACGCGCTGCCTTAGAATTTTTGCAATTTTGTGCTGATAGCCCTAAAAAAGAAAAGGCGACGACGTATTTGGACAAAAACATGGCTGAGCAAACGTGGCTACTACAGTCTGTCAATTATACAGAAAGAACTCCTTTTCACTTGCACCCTCGCCATGATTCTGTGTTTTCATCGGAGAAGAAGAAGAATCCTTGTTTGCGCATCAAGCAATTTGCCCATGACAACCGACTGAAAATCAAACATGTTTGATTTTCTCCCGACCTTACGATTCCTGATCAGGAGGTGATCATGAGAGGTTGATCGCTCCTCGTTAACTCCTGTACACTACATGACGCACGACATACGATCAGGCTAAAAGTCGGGCCGCTCGAAAAATTCTCGCACGACTGAAAAAGGCAAAAAAATAAATAAATTGCACAGTGTAAGCCCGGCTTATGGACGAATAAGAGCTGCATTCAAACTGAGATAAACTCCACTTTCCTATTAGATTTTGTTGGCAGGGAGGACCTAGTGGTTAGAGCAGTGCGCTTGTGGTCTGAGAAAGTTGGAAGAACTCGGTTAGTTCCCACAGCCTGGACTCTGGGTCTCTGAGCAAGACCCTTAACCCCCAATTCATCACCAGGCGCCGCACAGTAGCAGCCCACTGCTCCACAAGGGGGGCAATTCTCCAGTGTGAGATCAATGATGTTCAATTATTATTATTATTATTAGATAACTTCTAAGGAGCATTGGCTGCGGTCAACCTTTAAAAGGTATTAGATTCAATTTATTGAATATACCGGTATATATTCCAGCTACACAAAACTTTTATTGTGAAAAGACCTAGAACTACGCTTTAAGTTTGAAATAAACTCAAAAGATTGTGTATGTTACTCTTGAATAGAATTGAATATAGTTACATAGGTTGTAAAAAATAAGGCTACTCCTTTCTCCAGAGGACAATGATTTACAAAACAAAGTTCTAAAACTAGTAAAAAAAAGAGTAAGCGCCAAACTTTAAGTTAATCAGAATGACAGATTTAGACAGAGTAAATGTGGAGAGCATGCTGAGGCAGGAAAGACCTTCCGTCCTGCTTGAGGTCTATTAAATTCCTGTGCATGAGAAGCTCTGCCTGCTGATTTACATCAAGGATTAACAACGACAGTTTCTGTTAATGTCTCTTCAACAGACAGAGAAAGAAGGCTGTGCTATTCCTCGTCCACATTCCTAATATACCCACTAGGAGATGACAAGATCATGACATCATGTTATAGCATAAAGCAGCCATTGTTGTAGTTTGTATAGCCAGTACTGTACCCCTACAATATCCCTATAAAACTAGACAACACAGGTTCAGAGACAAATTGAGATAAATCTACTTAAGAAACTAAGGAACCAGAACAACAACTCGCTCTGAGGCTCAAAGATTGTTTTGTCTACAAATAATGCTAGATCTTCTGCCTCTTTGTCCTCTGCCCTGCTCGTGTGGCCCACTGCCAGAGCAGAGGATATGAACATACAGGGCCAGTGTCTGCTGAAAACAACTAACAGATTATGCGAGCGCCAGCAGAGACAGGTCGCATATGCATCGCCTGAGGTGATTTTGGCAAAAGCAGTACAGGGAGGAGGCCACAGGAAGAGACAGGAGAACTAACACTCTACAATCTGAGGGGAATCCATCTTTCACAGGACACGGGATGAGAGGTAATAGGTGTGCGTGAATCAGGTAGCTTAGATAACAGAGGTTTGGAGTCAAAGCTAACAGCTGGGAGCTTTAGATGGTGAATCATCTTTCCCCTCTGATGCACTGTCATACAGGACAGCAAGCAAAGGAAGGGATGGAATATATACACAGAGAGATACATGATTTTTATTTAAACTTATTTTTTGCGGGATGTGCTGAACTTTCTTTCCACCTTTTTGTCATATTTCCAATAAGTACTC